TAGGTATAGTTGGCATGCCAAGAGTCGAGGGTTTCATAGGTCCTTTGGGACAACTCATAGGTCCTTCGGGACATATTCACAGGTCCTTCGGGACAAATTTCATATGCCACTCAGTGGGACTTATACGAGCTGTGGTGACAGCAATAGTGCACAACCTCAATTTACTCGAATACCTTGAGTTCTCAATAGTGTACATGGGCCTATAAAAGACATTGAAAGTATTTACAAGATTCATATGTGATATTGTGTGCATTTCTAAGTGAAATGTATTTGTTATATGATATTGGTAATTATTTATGCAATAGTGAGATTTGAAGTTTATATTATATGCTGATATAGTATATAAAGAAATTAGTGATGATCAAATGAGAAATGATAAGTACAAAATCATATGATAAATAGAGATTATGATGATGATGGTATATGAATATATATGCATTTTATTATATGAAATGTTATATGGTTTTCTTATATATTTTATATGCCTCACTAAGTCAACGACTTAGCGTGTGATTGTTTCACGCGTAGGTTATGAGAAGATGACGGTTGATAAAAGTTACTCAAGACAGGTCAGTTTCTCCTTTCCATAGATCAGATCAGAAAAGAAATGTATAATGTGTATTTTGTAATAACGATAGTGGTTGGCATGTAAATAAATGATTAAATCTGATAAGTTCTAATCGGTTTTGAAAAGTCATACGAATGAGTTTTGTAATGTTTTAATGAGTATATGTAATTAATAATATTCAATTTATTTTGTTAAATAAATTTGGAAGCATAGATGAGAATTTTTATAGTGATGAAAGGTTAATGTGTAATTTTCGAAAAATACTGTAGCAGTTACTGTAGCATGAACAGTAACCGCGAGTTTGAACAAAATTTTCCAGTATCTTAGAGGGAACCGATTCCCTGCTACAGGGAATCGATACCCCTACTATTCATCGTACTATTCACTATTCACTATTCACTATTCACTATTTACTATTCATATAGTATTTTACTGTTTACAAATACGTATTTTTGAACTCAAAATTTTATAACAAGCACAAGTGAACCATATATGGTCGTATTTTCTTAATATAAATTAAAATGCTCAATTATTTTGAAATGAAATCATTTTTAAAAAGTCAATGTGACATCTCGGACTCGTATTCGGGTCGGGTACGGGTTGGGGTGTTACAAGTTAACTTTTGATGTACTTGATTGTGGGCACCATGTCTTCTTGATCGAATGTGACACATAGTTGCCTTGCAAATTGTCCTCATTCTTTCTGAGTCTTTTTTGACCATAGTCGGACCCCTGCGTTTTTCATCTCTTGTATTACAACCCCTTTTTCCATTAATGTAAATTATTTATGGTTAACGAACACGTTTTTTTTGTGGATCAACACCTCTTTTGAATGATGCAGATGATGGAAATAAAATACAAGAGATAAAAATTGAAAAGAGTTAGTAAGGTAAAGATAATAATAATGAAAATAAAAGGTCCTACCCCACATGATATCTACCCCACATGATTTAATTCCTACCCATACATGATCTCTATCCCGCATGCTAATTCCACACAAATCCTAACTGAATATTTGTCTACTTCGCATGCTTTGAATAGAAAGTAAAGCATGAAACAAAATAACCTAGGGTTTGGAATGAAGTTTTGGGGTGCGCTCTAATTCTCCATAGCCTCCCAGTTTAGGTTATAAAAAATGGGACCCGAGTTCTCCTTGCCGGTGCCCCCTTAGGCTTACTAGACCCTTAGTCCTAAGCCCATTACAAGCTTATGTGGACTAAGTTAAACTCGAGAGGAAACATTCCCTTATGCCCGCACGGTGAATAAATTCACACGAAGACATAAGGTATATGAATCCTGAAGGCTACTTGCTAGGCCCACACGGTGAATAAATTCACACGAAGGCGTCGCTTTCACCCCCACTTAAAAGGGTTCGGAGCTCGGGTATAGAGCTAGAGATGAAAACTTTTTCAAAAATCTGAAATCATTGAAAAAAACGTTAGTACAACTATTTATTTGAAAAAAAAATAATCAAAGATAAATAATTGGAATCGAATAAATAAATTAAAATTTAAACTTGTAATTTTCGCTAAAAAAAAGACAATCGAAAATTAATTTCGGCCTGACTCACTTACCTGTCCCCAGCGGAGTCGCCAAGCTGTCGTAACTGTCTTTCGATTGGGCCCCGAAATTGGGCTTCGACTTGAAAAATATAGATTGGAGTCACCACCGACCATTTTAAAACGAATTTAGGTGGGTCGGACACCATCTTACATGATCTGCGTTTTTACCAAAAAATGTGTCGGGTTCGGGAGTCGGTTACGGTCAAGGAAGGATTAGCACCCTTGGACCACCCTTTCGGTACCAATTAATTTACCGGTTGTCTTAGTTGCGAAAATTCGAAATTAAAATTAAAATTTAACAGACCTGATTCAAATTACTTACAATTGATTGATTTGAATACCCTTAAAAGATAAAAACGTTTAACTCGTAGCGGAGTATAAAATCGAATTAGGATAGCAAGTGTGCAAACGTGAGAATAATAAATAAAACAAGAAAAAATGAAAAATAACAAAACACGTAAAAATAAAAAATAATAATAAAAATAAACAAAATGAATAAAATGTTAAAAAAACAAAGACACAGATAAAGGGAAAATATTAATGGAGTAAAAAAATAAAAAAAGGTAAAAGAAATTAAAAAGGAATAAAAATAATGTGTACATATAAAGTAGTATTTACTAAAACAAATAAAAATAATAAATATATAATACTAAGTAAAACAAATAAAAAATAAAGATATACATGATATTAAGAAAATAAAATAATAAATAAATAAAATAAAGTAAAAATATAATATATATAAATAAATAAATAATAAATAAAATATTAAAAAATATATAAAAACGTATAAAATATAATATTAAGAAAAATGTATATACATAGTAAATGGAGAAAAATTAATACATCTATACACACACACACACACACACACACACATATATATATATATATATATATATATATAATGATATAAGATATTTATAATAAAAATAGTATAATATAAATAAAAAAAGGAATATAGTAAATAAATAAAAATATATATAGGAGACGAAATTAATATAAAAGTAAATTTCAAGGTAAATTAAAGATTAAGATTGACTTAGGGGGAATATTAAATACTTTAAAAAAATGAACATGTCTCGGAAGTAGATCTAAGTTCGAAACTTCGAAACTCCACCCTTTTTTGGTCATCGGCGCAACCTACGCTTTGGGTTATTCAAACCAAATCTCGAGAAAAATAACATGCACATGCGAGAAATGAACGAATCAATGTAAAAAAAGATGCTACATTTTATTTCCTTTTCGAATCGTTTACAATAGCTTTGCCTTTGTATTTTTCGTTCTTTCCTCTGTATCTTGTATGTAAATCCCCTTACAAATGGGGAGGATTACATGTATTTATAAAAAAAACTAACTATTTTTAGAATCCTATTAACAATAGAATCGTAATGCAACTAGACTCCTTACTCGGTTGTTGCACGTTTGTTGGTGTGGTTGTTGCTTTAAAAGATATGGTGGTGGAAAAGTCCTCTTAGGAGATGAACTCTTGCTAGTTCTATCTTTTAAGAAAATAAGTCTCTACAAAAGGGTATTTCCAAAGGAAATGTTCCACCGTAAACAGATCACAACAGACGATGCTCCTATGGTTTGAGACAGCTACCAAACCAATGGGGATGGTGAGATGACTTTCCTCACTCTCATCAACTAGTGGAGGCACTTCTATGAGCCAACATAAAAAAATCAATTTGTTCTTAACAAAACCATAAACCAAAAACACTTACACCATTCATTATTTCTATAATTCTTCGGATAAATTACACAAATAGTATTTTAATTATAGAGTATTATTTTGTTAAATTTCTTGATTATTAAAAATTATAAAATGATATCTCGATTATAAGACATTACTTTATTGAATCTCTAAACATTAAAATTTACAACATGACTATTTATATATTTTAAACTCATTATTTTTCATTAAAAAATTAACGGTCGTTTAAACTGAATATTAATTTGCTCACCGCGATATGATAAAAATATGATCCCAAGATTATTTGAGTTATATTTTGTGGAACGAGTCTCTGATTACATTATATTATCAAGTCAATGCTTGAATCATTACGTCATAAAGTCAGTAATTAAAGTAATAGTGATGCCAGTAGACACCATTAAAATATGATTTTATCATATTTCAATAAATAGATTAACGTCCAACTTAAATTATCATCATTTTTAATAAAAAATATGAGTTTAATACATATAAATAATTAATTTTTTATAACTTTTAATAATCAAAATACTTATAAAATAAAATTTTATAATTAAAAGATTATTTTATAATTTTTAATAATTAATAGATTCAATAAAATGTGTATTAGAGGGATTAGTGTGTACTTTAATCTATTTTTTTTAGATAAATTTTGTTTACATTTTCAACCAAAAAAACGGCGCCTTTCTATCATGCATTTTGGCTGGCTGGCTGTCAAAATGTTCCCCTTTTATTTCACGCACTGCATTTCTTCTATTTTAGATTTTGTGCTCCCTCTTTTTGCTTTGCGTTTCTTCTACTTGCACCTCAGCTCAACTCGCCCGTCCAACTCATCTCTCTGGATCAACTACAATTATTATCCTTTTCCGAGTGAGTTACTCTTCTTTTTCCTCGTTTTCTCCCCCACATTTTCCCTTTTGTCTGTCCGAAAACTATCTAGTTTGTTGTGGATTCCCTTTTTTTGGGTATAATTTGGTGAAGAATTAAAAAAAACGAGGGATTGTTGTTACGTGAGTTCGGGTTAATTTCTTTTCAATTGTTTTTTCGATGAATCCGAGGGAGGGTAATTGATTAGATCAATATTAAAAAGTAAGCAAGGCAAACCATTTTGGTAAAAATTTGTAGTCCCAATTATATCATCAATAATTTGATTGGGGATTAGCATGGACCTGCCTACAGCTGGTAATGATTGCAAGAACAATGATCACATCAATAATTTGATAGCTGCAAAAAAATCATTAAAGCTTAGTTTAGAGAAATCGAAAGTCCTCGGATTGGCTCTTGAAAAGGCTGGAAAAATATTAGATGAGATCAACCGAAGACTGCCTTCCTTAGAAGCTGTTGTCCGCCCAATCCGTGCCGACAAAGATGCCCTTGCTGCTGTTGGGGGTCACATTAACCGAGCAGTTGGCCCGGCTGCGGCAGTGCTTAAGGTTTTTGATGCCGTTCATGGACTTGAAAAGTCTCTGCTTTCAGATCCTAGGAATGATATTCCTGGGTATTTATCTGTGTTAAAACGCCTCGAAGAGGCATTGAGGTTTCTGGGCGATAATTGTGAATTGGCAATCCAATAGTTGGAAGATATAGTTGAGTATTTGGATGATAACATATTTGCTGATGGAAGGTACCTGTCCAATCTGAAGAAATCGCTCAAAGGGCTAAGGGAGTTGCAAAATGATGGGCAAAGAATATATCTTGATAGTGGGCTTTTAGATTCTGCATTACATAAACTGGAAAGTGAGTTTAGACGACTTTTGATGGAGCGTAGTGTTCCCCTTCCGATGTCATCTCTGTCACTAGGTGAACAGGCATGCATTGCGCCATCCCCTTTACCTGCGACTGTTATTCACAAGTTGCTAGCAATTCTTGGTAGGATGATTGCTAATAGTAGACTTGAGAAGTGCATTACGATCTATGTTGAAGTTCGCAGTTCAAATGTCAGAGCTAGTTTGCAGGCACTTGATATGAATTATCTTGATATCTCGGTCTCGGATTTCAATGATGTGCAGAGCATAGAGGGGTATATTGGACAATGGGGAAAGCATTTGGAGTTTGCCATAAAGCATTTGTTCGAGGCTGAGTTTAAACTTTGCAATGATGTTTTTGAAAGGATTGGTACAGATGTTTGGATGGGATGCTTCTCGAAAATAGTTGCTCAAACTGGTATTCTTGCATTTCTTCAGTTTGGGAAGACTGTTACAGAAAGTAAGAAAGATCCTATAAAGCTTCTGAGGTTGTTGGATATATTTGCATCACTGAACAAATTGAGATTAGATTTCAACCGGCTCTTTGGGGGAGAAGCATGTGTTGAGATACAAAATCTGACAAGAGATCTCATTAAGAGAGTGATCGACGGTGCAGCTGAAATTTTCTGGGAACTATTTGTTCAGGTGGAATTACAGAGGCAGAGTCCACCTCCTCAGGATGGGAGCGTTCAAAAAGTGGTGAGTTTTATAACTGATTACTGCAATAAACTTCTTGGCGATGATTATAAGCCAATTCTGACTCAAGTTCTGGTCATTCACCGAAGTTGGAAGCATGAAAGATTCCAAGAAAGGATTCTTGTTAACAAGGTTTTGAAAGTAATCAAGGTGACAACTGTTGTTTGCGGTGTCAAAATAAATTCTTTTTTTTTCAATTAATAAATAAGGAAATACGTAGTATAGAGAAATAATGATCGAATCCAAAGAGACTTAGAAAATCACAAATTTATGTTTAAATGATTTTTAACCAGGCGAAAAATAGTAAAACGGGGAGTTTGCAATATAAGATTTAAATAGTAAAAACGAGTAAATAAATTAAAGCAATTAAAGTAAAAATAGGATGATGAAGATTGTGAATAAATATGGTGAAAATTGCCTCAAGCTTCGCTTTAATTCAATTTCCTTTAGATCATCGAATAAGATTTTCTCTTCGAGATTCACGTCGGTTACTTTGTCTACAATAACTATCCCCGTGACTCTATCTTGTATACCGAATACCCAAGGCAATCTTTGATTCCAGCTTCGGGAATTGATTCTATCAACATCAATTGTCGTAGATCAATTATCGTTTAAGTTCGTGGCGACCGACTCAGATTGTTGCTTCAATAACCGTCAATTCCGATCTCAATTCCCTCTTGGCGAAGCTATCTCCCCAAGTGTGTTCCCAGGAAGTTGAATTGCTTTCTATAAGACGAACCTTCCTCCCACACGTTTAATTGCAACCTCTTGACCAAAGTCAATCTTTGATTTTGAAAACTGTTTTGATTTTGAAAAATAAACGCATAGATTGAGAGAGATATTCTAAATATATTAAGGGATCGTTTCAATTCTCCCATTGGAATTGAATCATCGCGACAGCTCTCGGCTTATGAAAAGTTTAGCTAAACATGACAAAAGTCATACTTAGCATATTAAAAATAAAGCTTGAAAATAAAAGAAAAATGGAAAAACTTGAAAAGTAAAAAGGAAAAAACTTTAATAAAACTAGAGAGAAAAGAAGAATGTAATTTGAGTGATGAGTTTAGGTTTACCCCAAGTGGGTATTTATAGCCTCTCAAAGCCTAAAGGATAAGCAAATAAAATAATAAAATAATACAAAAGATAATTGTTTTTAAATTTAAATTCAAACTTAAACTAGTCAACTCTACTCGTTAATCTTCTAGAAGGCGTGCGGATGAAGTCTTCTAGAAACCGTCGCTGACTGGACCTTCTAGAAACTGCCACGTCAGACCGCGTCGTGCCTAGAGTCGTGCCCATGTCTCCAGTCGTGACCAAATAATAAAAAAATGCAGAATTCGCCTATTTTGTCACAAATTCTGGAAATCAATGACCTGTACAAAAATAAGTATAACACGACAAATTCAGTAGCAATAATTCCACAAAATTGAAGAAATAACAAGCAAAGATTAACTATTTTGGACACTCATCAAATTCTCCCTCACTTATCTCATGCTTGTCCTCAAGTATAATTAATTAAACTAGTCAAAAATTTCATTTACCGTTCTTTGTCAAGTTTTGCATTCAAGCAAGCAATGTAGAGACCACAATAACTATTCAAGTCAAGAAATTAATTAGTTGAACATCACCAATTGGAGCAAGTCAAGTTCAATTGTAATATCTATTCATTCATTAATCTCAATGCTCATAACTCAACACTTTACCGAGATTTACTCAAATCACTCAATGTGTTTGGGGTAAAGAAACTCTCAATGTCAGAATTGACACGGTATTACCATAAGCATGCAAGTAAATCAAATCTCCACTACTAATAAGAACAAAATGCATAAATCAAATGGTCTTTTATTGGTTGTAACAGGGTTTAGGTATAGGTGGGGAAAAAGCCAAAAATATGGCTAAAAATTCAAGGCAAGGAACTAATAAATAATAATCTCAACTCCATCAAAACATTAAGCACAACAATATAAAAAGACGACATATCAAACAATAAATTTCTTGTCGAAATGCATTTTTTCTTTTTCACACTTTTGTTGTTTTGTTTTCCATTTTTTTCTTTCATGTCTTTTTTTCTCTTTTTCTTTCGAACAGCTATTTTTTTCTTTCTCGAACTGCTGTTTTTTTTCTTCTTTCTTTCATTCAACATGTTTTTTCGATGGAGAATACAACGGTAAAATTATTCACTTGCTCTGAAAAAGGTAGAAAAGAGGGATAAAATAAAAAGGCTCGGGTTTATGAATATGGTGAAAACAAATAAACGAGAATAAACTCAAAAGTGGTTAGCTAAGGGGAAAATGCATAGGTAGACTTTTTAGTGGGGAAACAAAATGGTTAATCCTAAGGTGTCCAAATCATCTTTAAGCATCATGTTCATGTGTAATCTCGACAGTATTTAACATGCAAGTTCTAGAATACCAATGCCAAATTCGACACACTCAATCCAACAAAATGAGAGCGAAAATGATATGCTCGTTAAGGCTCAAATCTCACCAAATTGTTTCATGCATTGAGCTAATCACATTTCAACCAACGAAGTCGTGGAATATCACAAAAAACACCAACTTATCACAATTCATGCTATTCCCTATCAAGAATATCCTAACTTAAATAATCATGTGTTCCCAAACAAATATAACAATCCAAACAATATTCAACAAGACAAAGACAATCAATGAAGTTTCCGACAAATCCAACCAACACATACTAGCATCGAAACATAAAGATAATCAAAGGAAAATTCAATCCTACACTCTACTCCCCCTCACTTAAAGCGTTTTGACTCAAAACGAAAATTAAAGTGCAAGAGAAAAATTAGAGTACTCCCCGGATTACATGTCGATTTTGCGTGTGTACCGTCGTGGAGTAGAGAAGAGCGGGTGGCGTGGAAACTCGTTAGCAAAGGCGTAGGGGTTCAGTGATGTCGTCGACGATGAGGAGAAAAAGGGATGATAATTTTATGTTTGTTTGGGGATGGCTATCGAGTTGATGGGTTTAAGTTTGGTTTCTATTATGGGGTGTCTGAATTGGAAGTAAATGGGGTTTTTGTTTTTTTTTTGTGGATAAAGGGGAGTTTAAAAATTAAAAGGTGATAGAGATAGAGATAGTGAGGCCCATGGTAAAAGGAAATTGAAAGAGAAGAGAGAATTGGGGAATGGTGGGTGGCAGAAAGATAACAAAAAGGGAAAAGAATTTTTCATATGGGTTTTGCTAACATGCGCTGACCTTCAAATGGTTGTGCTAACGTGCACCGTTTAATGAAACGGTGCGCACAGGTCTTTCCTTGTTCCACTATTCTGCGTTTTTTACCACTACTCCTGTGGTTCCAAAATTAGCACTATTCGACTGAAATTTCTGTAATTCTTCGTCGTTTAAGTTTGAATAAAATTATTCGGTTCCTGCAAAAATAAAAATAAAAATTAAATTAAACATGCTTGAATGAATAAAAATAAAATGAAACAAAAAGTAAAGATAAAAATAAATATATAACGGAATTGAAAACAATAGGTTGCCTCCCATGAAACACTTTTGTTTAACGTCGTTAGCTCGACGACCTGATTCATACTACAGGTTTCGTGACAGACACTTCCACTTCATTCGCTTTTTCCAACTAAGAAATTCTTTATGAGAAATTCGAAAATTCTCATAAAGATTTCTTCAGATTTTTCCCAAATTAAAATTCTTGTCGAAAAGAATGTCCGTCAAAACATATTTTTTACCAAAAATTGATTTCTTCAAACGATTCATCGATGGTTTTGACATAATTTTTGGTGTCTGCAAAAGAGAAGGTGAATCTTTAGTGTTTAAAGGAGTTAATGTCAAATTCGAATCAACAAATAAAATATTTTTCAACTCCCTTATCTCGTCTTTTTTATCATTTGATTCCTTGCATAAATAATCAACAAAGTTAGATTCATCATCAACAGGTTTAATAATGCCAAAAAAATTAATACTATACACGTTATCCGGATATCTCATTGCTTTATAAACATCAAACTTTATGATCTCACCGTCGAACTCTATAGTAAGAATACCGCTTCGAACGTCAATTTTTGCATTTGTCGTGCTTAGAAAGGGAACCGAGGAGGATTTCAGAACCAATGTTGCTACGATCATTTTCCATATCAATCACATAAAAATCAGCAGGAAAAATTAAGTTTTCTACCTCTACTAGAACATTTTCTATGAGTCCTTCAACATAAATAATTGATTTGTCGGCTAGTTGAAGTGTAACTCTCGTCTCCTTCAAAGGCTTGGTGGAAATTAAATTATAGACGGAGAGAGGCATTACATTGATAGAGGCACCTAGATCGCACATAGCTCGCTTGATTTTAATCTCACCAATTTTACAAGGTATTGAAAACATACCTTGGTCTATATACTTCGGTAGAAGCGGTCGTTGGAAAACTGTTGAGACGTTCACGCCTAAATCCACTTTCTCGACCCCGGTAAGCTTCCTTTTAGTCGTACAGAGATCCTTCAAAAACCGGCAATACCTTGGAACTTTCCGGATAACCTCAAGGAGAGGTATATTAACTTCCACCTTCTGAAGTACGTCTAATATTTCATTTTCCTTGGCTTTTTTTATCCTTTTTGACTAACCTCGATTAAAAAGGTGGTGGCACGTCATAGGGAGATGGCGTCGGATCGTCCATTTATTCTTCATCATTCTCTTTCTGGGATCCTGCATCATCAGTATTCTTCTCTTTTTTGACTGCTTGGTCTGATGGAATAGGTGGCACCACTACTGTACCACTCCGAATAGTGATGGCATTGACTTCTCCCTCGGGTTTACTTCAGTTTGAGACGAAAGCTTACATTGTGATTCCATGCGACTTACGGTTTGAGCTAGTTGGCTCATATGCTTGTCTAACTCTTGTAAGTGGGCTTCGGTGCGATTCTGAAATTTTTCCTAGGAAAGTGCTAATCTCTCGACAATCGATTCTAGTGATGTCTTATGCGGCTATTGTTGTTGTGGAGGTGGTCTCGATTGATAGCTTTGATTTGGTCTTAGGCTCTGAGCATAGCTGAAATTCGGATGATCCCTCCATCCTGGGTTGTATGTATTGCCGTAGGGATTATAAGCTCTTTGGGGAGGTCCCAGAAAATTCCCGACTGCATTGACTTGAGTTGTTGCGTCATCTTGAATTAGTGGACAATCGTCTGTCGGATGATCAGACAATGCACATATTCCACATACTCGGTTTTGCCCTATCTTTCCTGAAACAAGAGTGTTTACGACTTCAGTTAGCTTATCGATTTTATTTTCTAAGGAATATGAACTTATCTCATGAACCCTTCGAGAAGGTTCATTATTTGTGCGAAATTATTGGGAATTTGCAGCCATTGTCGATATTAAGTCCCTAGCCTCAATAGGAGTCATATTCACCAAGGCTCTACCGTTGGCTGCATCGATCATCTTCATTTCCAAGGGAGATAATCCTTCATAAAAGTATTGAAGGAGTGTTTGTTCAGTTAACCCATGTTGTGGGCAACTAGAACATAACTTCTTAAAACACTCCCATTAGTCGTAGAGTGACTCTTCATCAAGCTGCTTGATTCCAAGTATTTTCCTTTGTAATTCACTTACTTTTGCCGTAGAGAAAAGCCTGTCAAGAAAACAATGAGTCATATGAGCCTATGTAGTAATAGAATTAGGAGGAATATAAAATAACCAATCCTTAGCCAAATCGGCTAAGGAAAAAGGAAAAGCTCTAAGTTTTATTTGGTCCTCGGTTACTCCCTGTGGCGTCATGCTGGAGCAGACCATGTGGAATTCCTTGAGATGTTTGTGTGGATCCTCGTTTGGCAATCCGCGGAATGTAGGGAGGAGATGAATAAGGCCAGTTTTCAACTGGTATGGAGTTTCGCCTTGGGGAAAATCAATACTCAAAGACACTTGTTCAATGGGTGCCGCGGCTAACTCCCGAATAGTAAGTTCGGCCATCGGATTTGTATTACCTGAATTTGATTCTTCTTCTGGATTTGTTTGTTGTCTCTTTCTTTCCCGAAGTGTCTGTGCGTGGAGTCTCCTAGCTTTAGCTTCGATCTCCGGGTCGTACTCCACTAATGTGCCCGGATTAGTCCTGATCATAAATCAAAAGCAAACAAAAATTAGTAATTTTGGCGAAGTCCCCAACAACGGCGCCAATTTGACAACTGTCGTTTCGGTGTCAAAATAAATTCCTTTTTCTCAATTAATAAATAAGGAAATACGTAGTATAGAGAAATAAGGGTCGAATCCTCAGGGACTTAGAAAATCATAAATTTATGTTTGAATGGTTTTTAACCAGGCGAAAAATAGTAAAATAGGGGGTTTGCAATATAAGATTTAAATAGTAAAAACGAGTAAATAAATTAAAGCAATTAAAGTAAAAATAGGATGATGAAGATTGTGAATAAATATGGTAAAAATCGCCTCAAGCTTCGCTTTGATTCAATTTCCTTTAGATCATCGAATAAGATTTTCTCTTCGAGATTCACGTCGGTTACTTTGTCTACAAGGGCTATCCCCGTGACTCTATCTTGTATATCGAATACCCAAGGCAATCTTTGATTCCAGCTTCGGGAATTGATTCTATCAACATCAATTGTCGTAGATCAATTACCGTTTAAGTTCGTGGCGACCGACTCAGATTGTTGCTTCAATAACCGTCAATTCCGATCTTAATTCCCTCTTGGCGAAGCTCTCTCGCCAAGTGTGTTCCCAGGAAGTCGAATTGCTTTCTATAAGCCGAATCTTCCTCCCACACGTTTAATCGCAACAACCTCTTGACCAAAGTCAATATTTGATTTTGGAAACTGTTTTGATTTTGAAAAATAAGCGCAGAGATTGAGAGAGATATTCCAAAGATATTAATGGACCGTTTCAATTCTCCCGTTGGAATTGAATCATCGCGACAACTTTCGGTTTATGAAAAGTTTAGCTAAGCATGACAAAAGTCATACTTAGCATATTAAAAATAAAGTTTGAAAATAAAAGAAAAATGGAAAAACTTGAAAAGTAAAAAGAGAAAACTTTAATAAAAATAGAGAGAAAAAAAGAATGTAATTTGAGTGATGAGTTTAGGCTTACCCTAAGTGGATATTTATAGCCTCTCAAAGCTTAAAGGATAAGCAAATAAAATAATAAAATAATACAAAAGATAATTATTTTTAAATTTAAATTTAAACTTAAACTAGTCTCCTAATGCAACTTTACTCGACAATCTTTCAGAAGACGTACGGATGAAGTCTTCTAGAAACCGCCACTGACTGGACCTTCTAGAAACTGCCACGTCAGACCGCGTCGTGACCAGAGTCGTGCCAATGTCTCCAACCGTGACCAAATAATAAAAAAATGAAGAATTCACCCGTATTGTCACAAATTCTAGAAATCAATGACCTGTACAAAAATAAATATAACACGACCAATTCAGTAACAATAATTCCACAAAATCGGAGAAATAACACGACCAATTTGGAAACATGTGTGAAGGCATATGATGATGCTATCTTGTCCTGTCTGTTTGGCATGAACAACCACTGGCATCTATACAAACAGTTAAAGGGGACAAGACTAGGAGAGCTCATGGGGGATTCTTGGTTGAAAGAACATGAACAATACAAGGAGTACTACTACACTGTCTTCTTAAGAGAGTTGGGGGAAACTCCCAGGTCATTTGAGTGGGGAAGGTTTAATTCTGTTCTCAGGTGGTCGTGCCACTGCTCGTGATCTTGTAAAGAAAAGGCTGAAGACTTTCAATGAAGCTTTCGATGAGATGTACAGGAAGCAGTCTGGTTGGGTCATCTCAGAAAGAGATTTGAGGGAGAAGACATGCCAACTAATAGTGCAGACAGTGCTGCCTGTCTATAGAAGCTATATGCAAAATTATGGGCCATTGGTAGAGCAAGTTCCAGCAAGTATATAAAGTACACAGTGCCAGGGTTGGAGCAGATGCTCCTCTCTCTTTTCCTAACAAGGCGGGAAAGGTATGGCAGTTTTAAAGTTAGGCTAACCAGCGACAAATTTGGTAACGCGATGGATCTTCGTCGGACTGCATCTGCAGTTGGGTGATTGTTCTACATTTCTCTCCATCTTTCAGTTGTATGTATTGTCATTCTGCTGTTTGTGGACTATTCCCTGTTATATTTCATCCTTTGCTCTTGCACAGCAGTTTACCTATATACCGCGAGGATAAAATTTTATGCGTTGCTCATTTGATGAGGATTGGAAATCAAATGGAGGGTCCTGAACCTAAAAAATGGAGGACTGTGTTGGGTTGGTAGATAATAACAGTTTTGAGGTAATAGCCATAGCCTTTCCTTTTACTTCCATATGCACTCATTGATTCAGTTACTAGCTAGGTGACATTAAAACTTATAATTTGCTAGTTTTCATGCTCAGTTTTTTATATGAAGTGACAATAGTGTTGTAGCAAGTGATTATAAATTATTTAGCCAGCAATTTTTCCAAGAATCTGTCAAACACTATTGGGAATAAAGTCTTAGCTGGTTTCTCTAGTTCAATTTATTTCTGCAAATTTGTTCCAGCTTCTCCTTTGTCTTTTGATAACAACCTCCTTTTATCTGTCCTTTTTTTTACTTGGGCAATTGTGGAGATTTCTGCCATTACTAGTGATTTTGTTCCCTCCATCATCCTGGATGTGTAACTTTCTGTAACTGGCTTTTGAATCATAATGTATACGTACATATAAATTTATATATAATGTAGAGTACATGCTTTAATTTGCATTTTGTTTGTTTTTCAAAATTTAGTCACCAAGCTCCATTTTTATATAATTCACATTAAATTGTAAAGGACAGGGAGAATTGGAGGAAGATTAGAAGAGAAAGAAGACAACAAATAAAAAAAATTGTATAGCACGGGAACAAAAACTCAATCCAGACATTGGATGTTGTTGACGAGAAATATGTAGTGAGACATGGTTGAATTATTTGCCGGAGAATTAATGATTTGGTATTGAAGTTTGTTTTATCTGTGAGATTCAAATGCCCCAACCAGTGCTCTCACCCTGCCGTTGTTTTTGCCATGGGATTCAAATGCCCCGACCAGTGCTCTCACGCTGCCCTTCCTCTCTGTAACTAGCTTACTGGCCATCATCTTTACCACAACACTGTTGGGTGTTGTTGGTTTGTTCTTGTCATTGGCTGTTTCTGTTTGTACTTGGCTTTTAGCAACCAAATCTACACCCTCTTGAACTTTTTCCTCCTTCCCGTTTGCTGCTTCTGCTTGTACTTGACTTTCAGTGACCATATTTGCTTCCTCTTCAATTGTTTTCTGCTTCCCCTGCGCTGCTTCTGCTTGTAAACAACTTTCATGAGCTATATTTGTTTCCTCTTCAACTGTTTTCTGCTTCCCCTCCACTGCTTCTTCTTGTACACAACTTTCGGGAGCCATATTTGTTTCCTCTTCAACTATTTTCTGCTTCCCCTCCGTTGCTTCTGCTTGTACTTGACTTTCAGGAACGGTATTTGCTTCCTGTTCAACTGTTTCCTTTTCCCCATCCTCTGCTTCTGCTTCTACTTGGCTTTGGGCAACCAAATTGGCTTCCTCTTCAACTGATTCAAGCCCTTGCTCTTTTCCTTCATCATTGTTTTCTTCTTCACTTTCTTTCGTAACAGCCACCTCCTCAGTTGTACTACCTTCTACTCCCTTGTCTTCGGTTTTTGTTTTAGTCTCCTCATGTGTACCATCGATCTCCTCTTTGTTGTCATTGTCCTTGGCTTCCTCATGTTGAACATCGGAGTTTGAGCCATCAAGTTCTTGTTCATGAGCCTTATCTTCCATTTCTTCAGTCTGAGGCACTTGATGTTGATGCTTTTGGTCGTGCGTAACAGTGGAAACATTATCAAGAGTATCTTTTTCTTCTTCAACATGAGCTTGTTGCTGATTTTCTTCTTTGGCTTTGGGTGTTTTTATATCATGTATATCACTCTTCTCATCTTTCACAACCTGCCCAACTTGATGATCCAAATTTTCTTTGTTTTCATGCTTGGTTTCAAGATTTTTGGCTTGTTTTATACCACGAGTAAGTGGAGGTTTGTTTGAAGCCGAGGAAGTAGTAGTTCCCCTCTTACTGGTGGGGCGAGGGGAAGGGGGAGCCTTCGTGCTCCTAGCCGTCATTGTGGTAGTCATAGTCCTAGTCCTAGTCCTAGTCCTAGACGAAGAAGATGAGGTGGGTGGCTTTGCTGCAATTGGTGGCTTGGTTGGCCTGAGTGAAGTAGTGGATTTTGAGGGAAAAGAAGCAGACCTAGGGATGGTTGGTGGTTTTTGTGGAGGAGAAACAAAGGGCTTTTTTCGGATGGGATCTGCCGATGCAGGCCTGACAACGGATCTTGTGAGAGGGTTAGGCCTTTGGGGTTGGGAGGCGTGTGTTGCAGTTTTTTTAACATTCTTGGTAGCAGCATCAACGGTTGAGGTCTTTGTAGACTTGTTTGCTAGAGTGGAACCCATAGAATGTCTTCTTATCCCTTGCCCATGGGTAATGGAAGCATTTGGTTTTGAAGGGCAAGTGGGCTTCTTGTCTTTCCCCAAACTGCCGTCTCTTGTTCTGTTTGCCAATGCCATTAGTCGCAGGTTCTCTCTGCCCCTCCCCTGATCCATTCTCAAATTGGTCGCCCAGTAAATTCACCTTGATGATGTGGGGACAGAAGGGAGGAGAGATGAGGAAGGATAAGAGGCAGCAGCAAAAGAGGCTTCTTCATTGTGATTGGAAAAATATATCACCACAACTCGTGGTTGTCTGGACGTACATATGGAACAAGATGAGACCACCTTTGAAATTGTATTAGTTCATCAAAACCAGGCGAGATATATGGGGACTGCCTTCTTGACCTTTTCAACCTTATAACAAACAATTCCAAAACAGCCTTCTTTGGATCGGTTATGAATTCCAATGTTGGAATGAGAATATATCCACTCGGGGTCAGAACCCCTCTCCATCCCAAAACATGTCCCTTGCTTTCCAATCATATTGAAATAACATAATTAATTAATTAGCTGACCCTTATTCCCATATGTAATGGGATAAGGGGATGTAAGATAGTAGGCTGCCCCCAACGCCAGGTTAAGAACAACTTCCGTGGGAGACCTCCATATATGAAATGCCTTCCGTGGAACTCGATCCCACGACCTCAAGGTTAAGAACCTTGTGGTCTACCAACTAAACTGGATGGTCATCTTATCATATTGAAATAACATGTTTACATAAATCCCTACTTATTACTACAAAAGTTATTCATCATTGCTGTACAATTTTATTATTATTATTATTATATACTCTTTTACATCAAACTGTTTGGTACAAGGGGCTTAAGCCAAGCAAGTGCTCCCCATCAAGCAACGTATATCTATGGACCAAATATATCTCATCTCATAAGTTTACATGCATGCTTTAACTTTTCTTTATTTGTAATTAAATCTTTGTATACATGCACGGTTTCTGCTTTCTATGCGTAAAATTACAACCTTTTCTCCTCTTGTACGCTAATTCCTACAAGGGTTTTGCTTCATGAGATGGCACGCCTTATTTCAACATCAACTACTTTATTCTATATTTACTATGGATCTAACACACTTGATACGTTTACTGGCTGAAACTAACCCGTAAATGAGCTCCTTCATGGATGGATTGAGAGATATCGGAACGACCATATCTTTTAATTTTTTTAAATTATTATATAATTGATATATTTTTTATTGATGATTTGATTTTATCTTTTAAATGTATAATATAACTTATTAAAAATTCATACATCTAACGTAAAATTATGATCCGACTCTAATCCCCTCTCCTCTTATCACTAATATAATTAATGAATGTCCACGTATCATCAAATTGCTGCCCTTACCCTTTACTTTTTATATATTGTAATGAAAGAAGAAGCGAATATGTTTCTTTATGTTTCCAGGTGATTCATGGAAAAGCCACTGTATCCATTTTATAATTCAAAGCTCATCTTAATCACGCTATATAATAATGTAGCTTACAAACTAGAACAACTTTACCTAAACACATTATTGTTATTATGATTATTATAATATTAGCTACATTGATCATCACTTGTGGAATTGAAAGGGACTTGGACCTCAACTTTTTGGGGATTGTATTTGAATTATAGATTTGTATAGGAGTCAAAATATAATTTTACCACTATATTAACTTTAAACTTCACAATTTTTAAAAGGATTAAATTAAAATTTTGTCATTTTAAAATGTAGCTGTATCATTATTTAAGATATAGTTTTTACTTTTTCTATACCATAAGATCATTTCGATTAATTAAGAAACAATACTATTAATAATCTATGAGATGAATGTGTTTGAGATCATATTTGAAAGTTAAAGAATTTCATAAACTAATTCAAGAACTATAATAAAGATTAAAAAATGTATAGAAATAATGGGTAAAGTGCACAAATAGTTTCTCGACTATAAGATATTGCTTTGTTGAGTCACTCGATTATTAAAAGTTATAAAACGGTCTTCTAACTATAGGGAGTTGCTTTGTTGAATCCCTTGACTATTAAAAGTTATAAAATGGTTACATGACTATTCATTATACTCCAAACTCATCATTTTTCGTTAAAAAAATTGACAGCACTCTGAGCTGGATGTTAACTTGCTGACTGAAATATGATAAAAACAACTTTCATATCTCAATCAACATGTTAACGTCCAGTTCAAATGACCGTTAATTTCTAACGAAAAAAGATGAGTTTGGAACATAATAAATAGTCAGATGACCATTTTATAACTTTAAATAATCGAAGAATTCAACGAAATAATATCCTATAATCGGATGACCATTTATGTACTTTACCTAGAGATAATCTATAAGACCAATAATCTCAATTTTATCGTCGCTGAATTCATTTGCTTAATTAATGTAATCCGTGGCCACCGTGGGACATACTTCTCCACTAATGTCTTTGTGTAATACAAAGATAATCATAATATCACCGAAAAACGAACATATAATTAATTGAATTTTTCAAGGAAAAACCATCTGTCTAGCAATACTATTTATATGTTTGAAATTTAACTTTTTGGGGAGATCCATTAAGATATGTGGTTCGTCAATTGTCACGCTTGGGGCTTAGCTGCCCTTCCACATTTTAATGATTAATGCCGCTTCCTTCTCTTCTCTCTATATATTTAGAAATTTGGGGAATATTAACTTTTCTTTTCCATCATCATTCTACCTTATTTGTATACTTTTGGTCATAATTAATGTATTTAATTTATTAATCAATTAATTTAAATTTAATATTATAAAAATAATTCTATTAAATTTATTGTTTCTATTTGTAATATTAAAATTCAAACATTAATGGGGAAAAATCGTAAACCGTACCTAAAAAAAATTAGGCATAAGATTCCATGGCATTGAATATGGCATTAATTGGGTGGTGACATAGTAATTTCTCCTCTACAATAAGAATTACATTTGTCAGTGCAGATTGAACTGAGTATTTCTTCATTAAATTCAATTACTTTCACACCAGCCAACGTGGATCTTTCGCTGGAATTCATTCCATCATTTGTTTGTTGACTAGTCGCATTAGCCTACTAATCAACTCAACTCAATTCATTCCAAAAACATTTAATTATAAATATTTAATTTATTTAATTCAAAATCATATGTATTTGAATTTAAAGTGACCTAAGCTCAACAATTTGAATTCAAAATAACAGAAATAAAGACTATTTGCAATGTAAAATAATTAGAATATAAAATAATATGGATTCCGTCGATGTTCAACACAAGAGCTAGTAGTTGATTGTGATTTATCCCTCCAATATTAAGATGAGAATATAAATTGAAACGTAAAGCTTGAGCATAATGAGCTTTTAGAGTGCAAAGATGGATGCTTTTAAGGATAACTCTAAAATTATAAGTTGATTGATGAGATTTTTTCTTGGATGATATATTATTGTCATAATAAATGTATAGTGATGTAATTTAAAGAATAAAAATCTATAAAACTTTAAAAAGCAAGCAAGTAAGGAGAAGGACGTAGGAGCCACGGGCATTCAGATCACCTTTCTAATTCTATTTAAAATCTACGTTTTTAAATGCACCTTAATAAATGCATTATACGTTGCTTGTTATATCAGATTTTGTTGCAAGTTAAAGAAGAATTATTCATACATAAATGTTACACAATTGACTAATTCTAATTTTAAATCGATTCCGTGTTATGAAAGGGAAATGAAAATAAAATTCTTTCACAGAAAGCAAGTATTTCAAATCAAGTCTGGATCTTTTTGGTCAAAATGAAAATGTTAATGGTTCAAGTGTTTAAAAAATTAGTGTTGAAGTGGAATTTAAACAAATATAAAGGATTAAATTTGACATAAAAGAAAATAAGAGGCAAGGGGCACTGTTCCGTTGCCATCCACAAAAAATAGTTGTGTTCATAATAAATTATGGAGAAAAACAAGGGGTCCCAATATGCTGTTAAGAGGGGACGGCAATCGGCCGCACAACGCGAACACTCTTTCTTCTTCTCGTTTTGGTAGGCATTATTTTGTTTCTTTATATGTTCTCTGCTTTCCTTTCAAAGCCTATCTAATTCAAATGATATATAGAATTACAAAGTATTAGGTGGTTTGGCTCAGCCTTTGCCATTGGCTCTTTCTTCTCCGTACACGTCTTTGCTTCATGTTTTTCTCTCTGTTGTGCTGCCTTTATATAAACTTGAAACTTGAAACACCACCTTCATCTTCATCTAACAGTTCAAAATTATCTCTTCCTGTATTTAGAGAATCAGATACCAGAAGACGGTGAAGGAAGCGAAAAGGTATGGTATTGTATTTTAAAAAGAAAATCTATGGCAAGTACGGGTCTTTGTTTTCTGTTTTACAAAAAAGGTCTTTGTTTTCTGTTTTACAAAAAAGGTCTTTCTTTTAATCGGATTTTTTTTCATAATCAGACGTATTATATATGTTTTATATGAAAGATTGATTGGTTCTGTCGATGTCTTGATTCATTCTTCTTTTGGGAGAAGAACATGGTATCCGTGGTTTGGAAGGGAAAGAGGATGGACAAATACTTGAAGAAATTTTCAATTTGGATATGAAGGACGATCAGCTTTTTTCCACCATTAAATCACGGACCAAGTCTCTTATTTTTAGGAAAAAAATTAAATGATTGTGTGGAGAATAATTCAAGCAAAACATCAACCAAAGAGAGAAACCCACTTTTGTTCCTTTTCTTTTGCTCTTTTCATCTCCTTTCACCTTTTCTGATTTATTTATTTACTTTTTAGAAAAAGAAAATTGAGAAAACTCCCAAAGCCTCTCTTTGAACTTGTTTGATCATTGTATAACAAAGGTTCCTTCCTTTTTCTGTGTGTTCTCAAGTATCTTTCCATCTATTCTTTTCTTATTGGTTCAATTCAGTTTTCAGGTGCTCTTTTGTCGTCTGTTATGCGATACTAGCATAATTTGTTTGTCTCAAGGAAAATTGAAATATCCTTTCTTAGTGAATAAATAAGCAGATAGCAATATAGAAATGAGTTTCTAATTTGGGTTTAGGACTAGGTTCTGCAATTTTTCCTTGTTAGTTGGAGGGTTGTGCGTAGGTTATACAGCAATACCAATTATATTAGGTTGAAAATAGATTTCAAAACATTAACTTTATGGTCCCAAATCCGAATAGCCTTCAACTATTGCTGCTTGTCACTGTCTTTTGGGGATTTCTTGAACCTAATGGGCAACTGCCTTGCTGATTGATTGGTCATGGTAAGGCCAAGTGGTATTTTGGGGTTGGGTTATATATGACCATTTGTGCTCTTCTATTAGTTTCGGGGTTTTATATATGTTAGTGTTGAGTTTGAAAGTTACTATGTCTTGGAAGATCAGCAAAATAGTTTGTTGTTGTTTTATGCTTGTGTAGAAGAAGGTCTTTAGATGCAATGTTTTTAATAATTATGTCAAATGAATTATGGCAGGTTCCTGCTGTATGCATGATGTCAATGCTTGCTGTTATGGTGTTTTTTTAACCCCTCATGCGCTGAAGTTACTGTAATGGTGGAGGATTCTGTCTTTACCATATGTTATATTTATTTTTGATGTTTTTCCAGATATAAAGGATACTTGTTAGCTAGATGGATGGATATGCCAGTAAAAGAGCTGCTGATGGGCTTGTTGTACCTGGAAAGGGATCCGGTATCATCTTGAAGGGTCATGTTAATAACAAAGAACGAAGTGGTCAATTTTGCAACCGAATCAGATGCAGTGGCAGGCTGAATTCCGTGAAAGGTACTCCCAGTCCCAGTGGCTGCTCAGGAAAAGCAAAATCTTCGAGGCCTTCTTACCGCGCTTCATCAAATGGCAAGGAAATAGTTGGAAGTTCCTCTAGGGTATACTCTGCAGTTGTCAACTCTAGAAAATCCTCTACAAATCCTCAGAACAAGCTATCATCTATGCTAGAAACAGATTCGTCTGAAACTAGTAGTGTTCAGGATGAGCCAGAAGTATCGGAGCTCATATCCCCACCAGGAAAGATTCAAAGAGGGTTGCATCCCAAATCTCAAGAAGCCGATTCTAGGGAAGTTAGAGTGATGGAAGTTGGGAGCTCTAGTGCAGCATCAAACACAAGACCAAGGAGAAACCTTATTCAGCGTGCTGGGTTGGGAAACCAGGATACTCTTGCTGGTCCATCGGTTACTTTGGCCTCTCGAAGTGCTTCCCAGGCAACTCGTGCTAACACAAGCAGGTACGGCTTCAGAAACATAAGATGCAGCTCTATTTCTGATGTTCTTCCTTCTGGTTATTCATCTTCTGATTCAAGCTTCAGCCGAAGGAAAGATACTGTAAAAAAAAGAACCACTGATGGAGAAAGTAGTTCTTCAACCGGGGGAAAGATATTGAGTAGGTCAGCTTTGGCGGAACCGAACAACAGGTCTAGTCATGGAGTTCCTATTTCTGATTCAAGGCGAGCCAGAAATTGCCCCCCTAATAGTGATAGTAGTGTTGCTTCTTCAGTTAGGAGGAGACCAAGCAGTGGTTATGTTAGAGGGAGACTCCTTAACCAAGAAAAGGGGAGTAGTTTAACTTTGAACGAGTCCCCTGTAGTCATGCAGCTAGTGCCTCAAGCTGATGTAACTGTCAATTTGAGTGCTCCTGTTTCCTCAGAAACTAGCTCGACTTCTGCTATTTCTTACAGTCGACCAGGGAGAATAAGTGAGAGTTTACACAGTATCATGCCGTCTATTCCTTCTGACGTTGGAATCAACCGCCCTTCGGTGAACCGGGATAGCTACCGGCGATACAATATGGATGGCATTGCGGAGGTATATTAACAGTATGGTTCAACCTATATTTTCCTATGCATGGATGTATAACTTTACTGTCATTCATTTATCATCCTATAAACTCGGGGAAGGAACATAGTGTGGTTGCAAATATCTTTTACCAATTAATATATTAAATTATCTGGTGTTCGAAGTTCTCTCCAGGGAGAGGCAATAGTGATTCATTAGTAGGTTTTCTATAGTATTCCTGTGTTACTAAAGCTTCGTATGTTATGGTGGTTTTATGTTTACACAGGTGTTGTTAACACTTGAGAGGATTGAACAAGATGAAGAGTTGACATATGAGGTAACTAATTTTGAAGTGTTTGACTTGGCCTGATTGTTCTTTATTGTTGATTCTGTTTCTGTCGTGCAGCAATTGCTTGTTCTAGAGACCAGCTTGTTCCTCAATGGACTGAACTTTTACGACCAACATAGAGACATGAGATTGGACATAGATAACATGTCATATGAGGTTTGTTTTTGTTTCACTATGGTGGTGTGAAGTTTGCTTCTTATTTTCCTCAATATATGCTTGTTGTTAAAGGTAAGGTACGAGTTGGTTTGTGTTGGTATCATGATAGGAATTACTTGCTCTAGAAGAGAGGATGGGTAACGTTAGCACTGCGCTATCTGAAGAAGCAATATCGAAATGCCTTAAAAAAGGCGTCTATGAGGCAACATCTTTGGAGGATGCAAAAGTCAGCTGTGAGGTTGAAAAGGATGATGTGAAATGCAGTATATGTCAGGTACTCTTCTGAACAACTTTCAGTTGGTTTATGGCATTTAGTTTCCTTAGGCCATCTCTGGATGTGAGTGCAATGGATTTGATTATGCAGGAAGAGTATTTTGTTGGAGATGAAGTAGGGAGGTTACAGTGTGAGCATAGGTATCACGTCGGGTGCATACAGCAGTGGTTGCAGGTGAAGAATTGGTGCCCCATTTGCAAAGCATCGGTAGAAGCCATGCAGTCTTATTGTTCGCCTCGTAGCTGAGTTGGAATTTGAATTCGATGGCTTCTCTTCTTCAACTATTTTTATATTTATGATCATATGTAAATATCAAACCCAAACAAATAAAGCAGGTGCTAAGTGAATCTGCATTGAAACACCCAATTCAGTGGTAATAGAAGAAACGTGGATCAAAATACACAATACATTGGCTGTTATATTTAGGGAATGAACAAGCAAATATGTTCGTTGACACTGCATGCAATAAGTTTCATTTCTTTTTCTTACCAAGCTTATGTCTGTAAACTAATATTCTAATATCTAGAGAAGCACGGAGTCGACTGAAAGCTCTACCAAGTGAACCTACTGCACAAGAACAGGGAAGGCTTCTTGGTACAGATTTTTTCTCATCAACTATTGAGAAACTTTCATCTCCTTTAGTAAACAAGCAATCATGCCCATCTACAGCTGCCTTTTAACTGTTCCAGATAGTCAGACATGAGAATGCAGATTGGATGATTTAATCTACAGAATACTTCCAGAAATTTGCAAGCATTCTGTGTAAAAATCACAGAAACATGGTTTTACAGGGACCAAAACATTCCCAGTTAGACCCCAACGTCAATTAGTAACCGCTTGACATTCTTAAGCAATGCATAAGCAACTCATAAGTCGTAACTAATGCAGCAGACTTACCACGTTACTACTATTATTATATAATACATAACAAATAAGAGTTGAAGAACTATGAAAATACCAACCGATCGTTTAAATTATAATTAATTACAATCAAAAAGTTATAAACTTCACAAGAACATATATAATATGAGCTTAACAAATAGTCTTCAGGGGTCATCCGGCAGAAATATCTAAATATGAACAACAATGGACAATTTAATAGATGTCGATTTTGTATTAATATTGGAAGTCGATAAATTCTCAGATATTTACATACACAAGAATGCTGCTGCTCTTAAATGAGAAATTTTACCTTTCACCAATCTACAAAACAGTATCACTGCAAAACTTTCTACTTTTCATTTTGGCTGTAAAATTACAAGAAAAGCTTGCGATCTGTTGAAATGGCTGTAAACAATCAAAGTAATTGCTAATCGTACAACAGAGCAACCAGTTGGAAGCACTTTCTTTTCCAGAACCTAGTTCAGTTGCTCAATAATAATTTATCAGTCCCTGCTCTGTAGCAGGGTTAGAGGCATCCTGCTGACACCCAAACCATAATTTCACCTTGCAAAGGGCATAGCTTTATCCAACTCGGCCATCTGGTTCATATCAGTAATCGAGAACTGGGAGCTTAAGTGGCCAACATCGAACCGGCCATAGTTTCATGATAAACAATTTGAAATCAAGAATAGATACTGACCGCTGCTGCCTCTGTTGGTCCGAAACATTTGTGGGTCCAGAGGTACTCTGCATATGCAAGTGACTGCTTAGCCACATACCCTTAACAAGCTTGCCTTGAGTCTGCTGCTTGTGGGCGGAGTGCGTTCTTAGTTCAGGTGTTGACCTTGATCCAACCAGATCAACACGACCTAATCAATTTCTTCAAATACACGTTCAACATGTTATTCAACACGCTAGCACATTCTGCAGAAACCCCTCCAAGGCCCTACAATTTGCACCATACGATTTTTCAGTGTCTCACTATCATACAAACTGCCACCGTCATAGCAGCTAATGAAGCCACTACTGTTTACCACAGTGGGAGCTTTGCGGGTCCCACCAATACTAGCCGGGCAAAATGGGATCCCAAGTGGTGCAAGCAAAGGACTTGTATAGAGAGTAATGTGGTTAGTTTGTTTCTACCTCCTCATCTTCAACAATGGCTCCTCCGCTCTGATCTTTACTAGTTACCCTTGGTTCTGTTGAATATACCAAACCATCTCTTTCAGTTTCAGGCTGCTCCGCAACTGTTAGAAGTTGCTGCACTGGTATCTGATGGTCACATCACATGGAGACAAATCCCCATTTTCCATCCCCAATTTAATGACAACGTCTTCCTTTCCAACCGGTTGATGCAAAACAACAATCTTTCCATTTGCCCCCAGCGGCCTAGGCCTATCCCGTATTCCAAACCTAACCTTTCATGGGGACGACACTAGCAAAACACCATTTGACCATATGTCTGTAATTGGATGCGATCCAGCCCGCTGATGTCCATCTTCTCTAGCAGGACAACTTTTCACAGTTTGAACCAAAGATTTCACAGGTGGTGGAGCCTTAGCTTGACATGCATTTTTTAAGATTGAATTTATTATGCAGTGGCAGATTCTCCCTCCCAAGAATGCGTGACATGACTTATCAAACTCAGTTTTACTGAGCTTCTGACTTAAAAACCTAGTCAAATTATAAAGATACCTTTTTGACCTCTCACCCCCAATCTTCTTCCGTATCTGAGTTTTCAGTTCAGCTACATCGATTCTGGACCCTTGCTGGGGTTGCATTGCTCAATAAGTAGAATTCCACATCATTCACAGAAACTATGCAACCACTGAAACCTGTTTCCACCACTAATTTACAGTTTTCTACGGCACCCAACAAGTTCAAATTCACCAATTTGCATACCATACTGTGCAAATCAAACTCAGAATTCCCTATATATATAGCGGTAGATAAGTTTCCAAACAAACAAAAGAAAAAAAAAATCAGCCACCGAAAAAGAAAACAATGAAAACCCAAATCAATTCTTCGCAAAACCAAAAACCATAGGGGATCAAAATTTAGTCGAGTGGTTAACACCCCACTAAACCCCTGAATAAATCAAAACCCAAAATTATTCAACTTAACAGAAACAAGAGAGCATCGTGAGACGAGGCGTAAATTAAAGCAGCAACAATTAAAACCACTAAGGAGTTGTTTTAAAAATAAATATGATTAGGATTTGGGGAATTGAAGTTGAAGCAGAGGAAAAGAGATCAATGTAAAGCAGGGGAATTGGAGGGAATGGTGAGGAGCGAATAAGACAGTGACAAAAAAGAAAAGGGGAAAACTGGGGTTGACCAATAACTGAGAGATTCTTTTGAATAATAATAAAAATAATATCTTGGGGTCGGTCTTGATTTAGCCATCTCCCTCTGCTACTTGGTTTCTCTGTCTAAACAAATATCATAAGCTCATAGCAATTAGGTATCTCTATTTTCATCTCTTACTCTACAAATAAAATAGTAATTCATCTTTAGCGTTATTTTTACATTATCACTTACTCTACTTATTTATAATATTTAATTATTATAATATTAATTTTATAAATATAAAAAAATAAAAAAAAATTGAAAAATTACAAAAAAAAAATAATATAATTATTTATCTAATTTCAATATATTTTTATCTATCTAATAATTTAATATACTTTAATTAAAAAAAAGTAAAATCTAGCACGAGCTACAGTACCACGCTAGATGTAGCGCACTACAATACTCTACACCGGAGATGGATGTGCGCAGGGCTGGAGCACGCTATAGTGGAAATATCTCCACATTATTTCAGCGTTGGAGATGCTCTTAGAATTTATGTTTATGTCGTAATAATACTAATAAAAACTTTTTTTTAAGAAATAATAAAAGGTTGTGTTCGTTGCCACTTTGACGTAGACTTCAATTCTGACTTTGTGTTGACTCTTGAGAGAAACAAAAGTGTTGATGAGGGATGTTCATTTCATCCACTGTTAAGTCAAATGGAGAGGAAGAGCACTGCTATTAGTCTATTACTATATGTGATCATTTATGGCAATTACGTGAACATGAAATAAGGATTGCTGTCGTTGATGATAATGATTGAGACAGCTGCCCTAATGTTCCGATTCAAGAGTAGAATGCGGAACGCAGAGATTTTGATGAATCTGCATCAAATTCATTGCAGGGTGTAAGCTACATGGTTGTATTAGTATAGGATTAGGATGAAACTTGTGAATCATTCATTGGTTCATCATTTCTGTTTTATATTTTTATTTTTTAAATTTGCATTTTCCTGTCCAAGGAATCTCTGTTTGGTAAACGGGACAATGTAGTGGTACACGTACTAAAACTAAATTGTCTAAGCTTTTTCTGTTGTTGGATTATTCTTTTAATGTATAAAGAAATGAAAAACACTCAACTCTCTGTCGCATGTCCACAAGGGGACAACAATAGAATGAACTATAAGGCTATGACTTCCCACTAAACCAAACCAAAATGGTTATTTTAATGCTAATTATTTAATTAAAAACCTCCTTCCCTCCCATACCCATAGTGTCCTTGTCAGAATTTGCACCTAATCAAGGGACCATACCACTACCGTTACCATTACCATTCAGTCCAACTTTGCACTATATTAACAAGCAAATGAAATGGACTTAACAACTTGTCTGTAACAATGAAGTCTCCAAGTCTCTTATTTCTACTTGTCCTGTTTCTCCACCATACTCTGAGTCTGTGCCATGCTAAACTCAGAGTCGATTACTACCGCAACTCCTGTCCTGATGTTGAATCAATCGTCAGATCTGCAGTAAAAGCCAAGTTGGAGCAGACATTTATTACAGCTCCAGCAACTCTTAGACTATTCTTTCATGATTGTTTCGTCCGGGTTTGCCTTTGCCTTTGCATTTGCCACGATGTTTCATGTTATGCAAATCTAGATGGCAATTACATACATATTTGTTTATATTTGTGTAGGGGTGTGATGCTTCGGTGATGCTAACTTCATGGAACAATCGTGCAGAGAAGGATAATCCAGATGATCTTTCGTTAGCTGGGGATGGATTTGACACTGTGATAAAAGCCAAGGCCGCCGTTGATAGTTTGCCTGAATGCCGAAACAAGGTTTCATGTGCTGATATCTTAGCCCTGGCTACTAGGGATATCATTGCTTTGGTATGAAATCCATTGTTAAAGCTGACTACTTTGCTCAATTGTTGTGCCTGGTATAAAAAATCAAATCTGTGTTCTTTTTGCAGACTGGAGGCCCATCTTATGCAGTAGAATTGGGAAGACTAGATGGTAAGATATCAACGAGAGCCAGCGTACGACATCATCTCCCTCATCCCGATTTCAAGTTAGACAAGCTCAAGGCCATGTTTGCCTCACATGGTCTCACTCTTACAGATCTGGTTGCGCTCTCAGGTACAACTCACAAAACCAAGTTGCTTCACCTTTCAATCACATCAATTAGGCAACATACACTACTGGTTTGGACTGATGATCATATTCTTCTAGGAGCACATACAATTGGGTTCTCACACTGCAGCCAATTCTCCAAACGAATTTACAAGTTTAAAAGCAAGAGCAGAATCGATCCTACGCTTAATCCACCCTATGCAAGGCAGCTTGAACAGATGTGCCCGGAGAAGGTAGACCCCAGAATGGCCATTCAGATGGACCCGGGCACACCCCAAATATTTGATAATATGTACTACATCAATCTTCAACAAGGAAAGGGGCTTTTCACCTCTGATCAGATTTTATTCACTGATACAAGGTCAAGAAATATTGTTAACCTATTTGCATCCAACAATACTGCATTTGAAGAGGCTTTTGTAGCTGCTATAACAAAGCTCGGGCGGATAGGGGTCAAGACGGGCAAACATGGTGAAATCAGGAATGATTGCTCTGTTGTGAACAAGATTTTCTAATTGGTTTGCATTAGTTTTCAATGTTGAAACGTTTTGTTGTTTAAGAAAGATAATGGAGGAGATTCTAATCTAATCATTCATTCATGTTTTTGTCTTGCATAGTACTAATATACAGCTTGCTTTTCATGTATAACATATAAATGAAATTTGAGTAAGAAATAAACGTTGTAAGGGAACAAAAGTTATTAAACTATGCAATCAGTAAGGCATTTGAAAGATTACAAAGATAAAATTAACGGAATTGCATATTGTTCAGAGGAATGGAATGATACTCAGAGATAGAGTCATCAGAAGGCTTATATCCTTCAGGGTAAGTCCGGAAAGCTCCATTCTCAACTTTGCCAGCAGGAACAGTCCTGGTTGGATCAATTACAACTGCCAGGAATGGCTCCTGAAACTGCTGATTGAGTATTTGGGTTGAAACATCAATACCAGGAAGCCAGCATCCATACTGCCATACCTAGGATGAGAGAACGGTACCATCCAACATCATTCTCCAACCTGTGAAACAAACAACAAAACCACTTAAGAGAGATGATTTTTCATTGACAACGTTATTATGGTCTCAACTTCCAGTGGGGTTAGGCACCCTTAACATGAGACAAAATAACAATAACAGCTACTACTGAAACAAATGCATATAACTTGAATACTAGTTTGTGGGCACATTGAAGTGAAACACAATTTTCCTTTTCGTTGGTGCAAAATAAGGATTATCTCTTAAAGGTGAAACTATTCTAGTAAAACAATCACTTACTCCGTTTCCGTCCATAATTATTAACTCCAGTTGTCTGGGAGAGTCTTACATGATTATCAGTTATAAGTAAATTATAGAGACTGGCCTAATTTAGGGTATCAACTATCAAGAACACTAGTTGAACAGCAAAACCATATTCAAAACATGAAGAAAAATCCATGGGGGAAGGGGATTGAAACAAGAGAGAAAATCAGAAAACCTGCTTACTGGTCTGGGAATAATCCACTGTATACTCAAAGGCATCAGCATGTGTGATAACCCGAGTTTCAAAGCTTTCAACTGGCAAAGCAAAGGCGTCCATTAAAATGATGGTGTCTGTTGGCATCAGTCTTGCCTTGCATCAGCCCCGTCATATCTAACGGGTCTGGATAACCATCTTGAGGAGAACATGGGAAGAGATCTTAACGCGCTTGAAGTAGTGGTGATCATTGGCCCAAGGCTTATCCTGCTGGAGCTTGGCTTGAGTGGTGTTGTCGTAGTGGCATATAGGGTCCGGTGTTTCCACTGTCAAGAAATTGTTACTAATGCCCAAGTTGCCCAATGGCCAATGCTGAGGTCATTTTATAGCAAGCGTCGGACTGGAGAGTGATCAAATTCGAAAACTGTCACCTAGCCCAGATGTTAAGACCATACTGCCGGTTGCCCCTAAACTGTTTGACCGTTCTTGCACTTGACTTTTCGTTCTGCTTGCTGTAAAATATTTTTGGTGGTGTTATTAATGGCCGAAATCAATACAAGAGTAGAAAAACATGTTATAAATGGATCTTTTACACCAATATCTAATCATATATCGAGACAAGAAAAAAAAAGGTCATTAACCAGTGGTACTCCTAGAGATTCAAGATTTGGTTTACAATGATTATGAAAATACAAAAAACAATTCCTTAAGTTGAACTGAACACCACAGACTGACTGATACCTAAATAATCTCCATCTTGAAAACAGGGTAGTTACAAACAAAAGGGTTATCACCGCACTCGGTAAATATAGTGTACAAATAATATGGTCATACCATATTATTATCCTTCTTGTTTACACTTCATTTTACACTAAGCTACGGGCAAAACATTAGTGCAGAATATATTTCATCTGACACGTCCCCTTGTTCTCCTCGTGTTTCGGCTCACTTTCTTTCCCAGCTGCTTCTCCATGCCAGTGTTGCTCTTGCCTGCCATGCTGCGTTTTGACTTTGGTGTATTCAACTGCTCTAGCAAACCTTCATCTTCACGCAGCATGCTTGAACTGTTCTGGGAATTGGATACTGCAACATTGTTTTCATTTACCACTGTCACTTCTAGGGAAGCCTCACTCAACGGCTTAGTCTTGTCCTTCACATCCGCACTTGTTGCTTTCTCATCCCCGGAACCAACTGTATTCTCTTCTTCATTTATTGGTCCCTCATTTTGTTCTTTATCCGCTACAGCTGACATACTGAAATGATGAAGAAACTTAACAAATTTTTTAAAAAAAAAAATCAAACGTCAGAACTAAACTATTTAGGCTAGCAGCAGTATCACCTGAATCCTGAAGGTAATCCATTGGCAGTAGATGCAGCAGCATCAGCACGGCCTGTTTTGGCAACTTCTTTTAATGTCACACGGTTGTCTTCTATTTGTGAGTCTACAGATTATGTTTAGGGATGAAAAACTCATGTAATAGATATTAAACAATCCACATGTCCTAATTATGCACATGAACACCCCAACAATAAAAAGAATCTTTACAGCAGAGACTTCAAGTTATTTAATCTTCGAAATTGTTATCACTCTGTTTCAATCATAGGTACCAATATAATTTATAGCTGTGTTCATGAGGCAATACTTCGAGGGGTTAAGAAGGATAGCAACAGACCTTGGTAAGAAAGTTAAGTAGGAAAAACTTAACAGCGAATAGGTTGTTTCTTACCCTGTACAGTTTCTTCCATAGGAGAACCAAACTGCAGGATAGACCCATTGGTGTCCTTAAAATGATTGACATCAGTAGCGACAACATCACTGTGGCATAAAAGGTTAAAAGTTAGAATAAGAAAAGCATTGACCTCGTCATAAAGAGACAAATGAGGAACTTCACAAGTAACAATAAAACCTCTTTAACATCACTGCTGACAATTATTTTTTCTTTCCCTTGTTTTTTTTTCGTGTGAAGGGGGATTCTTTAATGGGAATGATACCAACCTATTTGATGCCTCACAAGTAACAATAAAACCTCTTTAACATCACTGCTGACAATTATTTTCTTTCCCTTGTTTTTTTGTGTGGAAGGGGGATTCTTTAATGGGAATGATACCAACCTATTAGATGCAGTTTTGATATCTACCGTTGATTGAAGTTTCTGTCCCTCATCCAGTGTCTCACCTGAGCCATCCCAGAAAACTCACTTAGAAAACTTCTGACAGAGGTAAAAGATTTAGAAGATGATACAGACTACCAAAAAGAGAAAAGAACAGAAGAAAGTGTGTCTGCTCCACAATGAAGACCTCGATCCAGAATTCGTTAGACATAGAGCAACTTTAGAAAACAAAAGTACTTTCTTTTGAGACTGAGACAAACCTTAGTAACCGAAAAATAATCTAGTCAGGACACAGCAAACACCATGTAATCAAATCAGCATCCGTAACTTTTTCATGGGAAAAAAATTAGGCAAGGTAGGCTACATGTATCAAGTATAGTAATTAGAGACAACTGCCATCCCTCAAATTAATAAAATAATATATTCATAATGCAGTACATATAAAGCCACTACATTTGTTCAAGGGAAATTTGACAACAAAAGATAAAAAGGATGTAAGAATACCTCTTTTTCTCTCGGTGCTTTGAACAGCTTCCATACCCTTCGCAAAAAGAGAGAGAGTGAGAGAGTCAAATATAAGCGCTTGACAAATAAAGTGAAATATCAACATATCATAAATCTACCCTAAGAACAATGAAAAACAATTAAAAATTAAGATACCTGATAATCTTCACAACCAAGAGTTACTGTGATTGGTAAAGCATCACTGTTTAATGCATCTTCTGGAATCTGTGATGCTGAAATGAGAAAAAGATGTAATGTCTTAGAATATCGGTGCCTAGAAACTAAACAGACTTGCCAAAATTTAAAGTACAAAAGACTATCAAAGAAAATGTCTGAGATTATTCAAGCTTCTCTCCCACAAGTTATACTACACCTGGTCTAGTAGCCAAGACTTCAGATGCCTCTACTGATTTTTTAGAGCTATCTGGATTATTTTCCTCAGCAGGGCCTAAGTTTTTGGCAGCTAAAGGATCAGGAGCATTTTTCTGTTCTAACGCAAACGAAGACCAGTCAATTTTTGGGGAAGATAGAGTCCTCAGCATTTCTTCTGTTGCCTTAGATCTCACTTTTCGTATTTCCTCTTGGATGTTCCATGAACCAGTGGCAGGAGAATCCTTTTTCGACTGCATCCATATCAAATGTATAAGCAGCAAATTAAATCATAACCAAAGGAAGAACGTACTGCAGGGACAATCACACTTACACCACCATGCACATTAGCCATATAGAAGAGTAAGGGCAAGCATATTTTTGACCTAGTAAACACTAGCATCAGTAAGCTTCAGGTCAAAGAAAACTGTGATGATTTCTTTTCTGGTATGATTGCAACAGTGCAGTTAACGCATGCACATTGGCACACCTGCACCTGCCCCTCAGCAGTCAGCACTAGGGGAAAAGGGGGTAAATGTGCCTCAGACTCTTTCAGGTTAGGCTCATTTATTCAGGCGTACATCTGGTGCAACTAGGCATGCTTTTTTGCATGGCGATAGGCATAAAAATGCCCACCTGATTGAAGTTCTCTTTAGTTTCTTGTTCACTATTTTAATTAGACATGTCTTTCCTAGTAAGAAAGCGATACGAAACTCAATAGTTCTCAATATTTGATAGTATTCAACGCAGACACTGATGGTCAAGAAATCATCCATATAAACCAATAAAGCAATTGCATGTTTTGTAAACAAACTTTATATATATTTCAATATACATATGTATATATAAATATATACACACAAAAAATTACCCTTTACTTAATGCAGGCTAGCGCTTTTTTTGAGCCTTGCGCCTGAGGCCACACAACTAGAGTGCACCTTGTGCCCTTGACAACCCTTAATTGCAATAGAATTTTTTTTTAATGAAACAGAGCTAACCATAGGCTCAACCAGGAAAGCAACCCAACAATAATATCATAAGAAATTTAAAGATCCGCAATCTTAATTACCATAATACACACATATGGATCATTACATCCGATCAACAAAGGAATAAGCATCTAAGAGCACCTTGGATGAGGACGAGTACTTGCCCCCAATTGAATATGGCGTTTCTTCTTTGAAAAGTGGCACTCCAAATGGTCGTGGTGACCTAAATTCAATATTGTTCATAGCAGGTGATGCCCATGGAGGACGAGTTCTCATGTATGTTTTGGCCATGTCCACAGGTGATCCTGCTTCACCTTCAATGCTCTGCAGCAACAAAAGCTTACTAAATTAGAGACTGAATTTTTTTTAACAATAACATAATATTTAAATATCAGCATTCATCACAAGTTTCTTTCAATAATGGAGGTGTCTACAACAGTAATCCGCCAAAATCATGCAAAAGAGAAATGACACCACTTTCACCATTGCCTTAACATGTGAATAAACTCTGAAACCAAATTACTGCACAATGGAACCATTATAATCAAATTGGCATCTATAAGAATCAATTATAAGTGGGAGGACAATGGGTAGCTTATATTCATTTCCCGCTCACATTCAACTTGTCTTTAAGATATATGTTAGATTCTTTCTGCATAAAATCTTCCAAATACATAAAAAAGGTAAAAGCATGATCTATCTATATATATACATACATAAATATCAGCTTAAAAGTTAAATGAAGACAGCATAACGGAAGCTTGGGAAAGCAGAAAGGAGATGGCACAGAACCAAAGGAAGAAGGGGAACAAATAAAACATTCAGCATAAATTATATGAGGCAAAGGATCAATCACACAGCCTATGTCAAAACTAGAATCATCGATGAAAAAGGAAGTATCATAGTGATTATCTAACCTTTTCATCTACCCCTTTCCCAATATAAAGTTCTTTTCTAATGAACTACATGCACTTGTTCCTTCTAAGAAAATAATTCACAGACAGGGTAGAAAACACAACCCACACGCATCATAGAGAAAAGAGTTACAAACATGTGCCGATGTAAAAAACTTCTGAGCAGAGGTCCCGTGGAGCAATTCTGACTTAGAAATTGATCCTGACTTCTTCTCCTCTAACCATTTTTTTGCCTCTATAACAGCTGTGCCACAAAGATCATGATTATCAACATCTGAAAAACAAGAAACACAGTCAGTCTGCTATAGGTGTTGAGAAGTTTATTCTTAAGATCTGTTCTCCCAATTTTGTGAAAGCCATATCACTTCAACCTGCTCTGTCAGCAGTTTCATTTAGCCTTTCAAGCCCCATGCCTCTGGTCACTGGAGATTCCACAACTCTTGACTTAATAATATTTGTTAGTTTATCACACTCTTCCCTGGTCAAAATAGCATCCGTTCAGAAGTTCAAAACTTGAAGTTCATGCTTAACTACAGATAAAAATGAGGTATAATAGTTGAAACGCACATCCAATTAAAAATGTCAAGCAAAGTTTGCCAAAGAACCAAATGCACATACTACAGATGCATTACTGTATGTTGACCAAATGTTTTATAAACAGGACAACTTAAGGAGGAAGAAAGAAAATGATTAAAGCAGGAAAAACATCCAAATAAGCAAATAAGTTTCTTTACTTGCCTTGAGAATGACTCCTGCATGAGAAGCTGCTCTATAAGACTCTTGGTTTCAATCTTTCCTGCAAAAGATTGGGGCTCACCCTGATGGCCCACAAAGGAACAAATAAGGAATCCTCTAAGATCATTATAATCATCACTAGTATAAAGACATGGCAAAAAAAAAATTTTTGATAGAATAGGGAGACCTCATTAAAACCCCCCTTCATACTAACGAAATATGAAAGTTTCGTCGAGCATTGGAAGGAGGAAAAGAGTGTCTCATAATTTTATTGAACCATCGAAAAATACAACTTAGAAAACATCAGAAGCTTACAACCACAAGAAACCAAACAATACAAAACCCCCCATATCTAACACATAAGGCCTACACACAACCCCACTCATCCAATAAACAAAGACAGGAAGAGGAATATATCAAATCAGCTCCAAATTTACCAGTACCACCAAAAAGTTATTTTTAAATGTTTTGATTTTTTGTTTTGCAGAATTACAAAAAACATAGAAGGTGGAAAACTTACATGTTCTATGTTATTAAGCCCTTGACTCGAGACATCCTGACCATAATTTGTACCACCAGTGTCATCTGCACCAAAATTAAAATAAAAAATAAAAATCCATGAATAAATACAGATGCAATACGTGGACTACCACCTGAGCAAGTAACCTTTCAAAAGCATAACACTGAAGCAACACGGATTTTTTTATCTTGTACCGAAATATGCTTAATTATCCACTAAAAGGTTAGGGACCAGTAAAGAAGCATGAGAAATAATGGAAGCCTCGAGAATCGAGATGACAATATGTAATCTCACTGAAAACAAGTAGCTTAAAACAGTTGAACCACAAAGCAAGTACTATACCAAAGGAAAGCACAATATTAGCATTACTAGTACTAAAGCACTGCCTGCAGACTGTAGCTGTAATCAACATTCTAGGCTCCTTATTTTGGTATGGAATTAAAAGATAACAACAAAGATGTATGCTTTGATTGTAGAAACTCATCAATCGAAAACCTAGAGTTTAAGCTCTCAATATAAAAACAAATATCATTTAACGAAAAAAGAGGGAGGAAATGAAAGGGGAGAGACGGATTTCGAAAAATACATGCTTTCAAGTGAACAAAATAAAAAGGTTGCATGTGGAACCTGAAGTTGAATCACGGTCTGAAGACGAAGAGGAGGAGGAGGAGGATTCGAGGCCAAAAACAGAGGAAAGTACTCTGGTGGCACCGGAGACGATAGCGCGAGTAGGGGAAAATACATGCCCGGAGATCCAATTAGGGTTTTGCTGAGTTGAATTAAGCAATCTGGAGCGGTCGTAAGGCGTCGTGCGTGACATGGTTCGCCGAGGATGCAGCATCTTGCCACCGGATCTGGGCTCTCGGCGTTGGGCAGCTCCTGAAATCGAGGCCATGTGGGAAGGAGGTAAAGAGAGGAATTGGGTTAGTCACTAGTTACAATTGCAAAGAGGTTGAAAACCAGTTTAAGGGTTTGTCAATATTCTGTCTTTTTTCAACCATAAAACAAATAGAGACCGAGAGCAGTAGAAGCACCGGATCTATATACGGAGGATGATATGTTTACCAAAAGGCTAAATCACGTATTTAGTTATCCATTTATTTTCATAATTTATTTTGGTCATCTAACTAATTTTATCTCAGAATCATAACCAATATTACATTTTAGTTATGTTTTGATCATTTACTGTTATAAAATCAATAATGACACTAATGTATAACCATAAGATAATATATTGTCATCGTTAAAAAATAAAAGAATTATCATGCCAAAAGTTATGTTAGTTTTTTTAATGATAAGTGATTAAAATTGGATCAAAATGTAACGTTAGATATAGTTTTAAAATAAAATAATTTAGTGACCAAAACAGAACTACAAGAACATGTGAGTAGCTAAATACATAGTTTACCCTTATCAAAATTCATCTATTTATGTTTTAAATGATTGTTTTAGTTATTATTATTTTTAAAATTACAAAATATTTATTAAATTATTATGAAATAATTATTTTTGAAATATAATAAATATAAATATTTGATAAACGTAATAATTATTTTATAAAATTTATTAATTATTTTATAATTTTTAAAAATATAATGATTAAAAAAATATCATTTAAACATATTTCAATAACCCTTTACTATACTTTATCCTTTGTTCCTTTCCTTTTTTAACGGTTATTTTCAACAGTTATCCTCTTCATGTCCCCAAATTAGAGGGAAAATGAAGTTTTGAATAAGTTTAATTTTAGGCTTCATATAAAATTAAGTGTCTAAATTATATCATTTTTTCATTTAGGTGCCTAAATTATTTTTGAGTCAATTTAAATGTCAATGTTTCCAACGTTACATTTTTAGGTGTTTGGGCTGTCATAACCTTTAAATTCTGTTGTTAAAAGACATGTATCGCCTTTATAAAATTTTCAAAAAATAAAATTTTTAAAATTACCTAAATGTGACAAGTGTCACTTAACGACGAAATTTAACGTCTGTTATAGCCAAGGCATCTAAAAGTGTAACGTTGGTAACTTTAGGCACTTGAATTGACCAAAAAAATTTAGACACGTAAATGAAAAAATATATATATAGTTTTGACACTTATTTTTATATTAAACTTTAATTTTATTACATATCCTCGTATTATAATTTAAATCTGAATTAACTTTTAAACTATATTTTTAAAATATCATTATCATATCAACTGAGTTTTACCATCAAATTAGTCATTAACTTAGATATTAAATGATACTTCAGATCTTAATATCATACACATCTAAAAATATGAAATAAATTATTAATATATATATTTTTATTACATACGATAGTCTTAGTTTAACATATTAAAAAAGAATAAATGTGTAACACCCCCAACCCGTACCCGACCCGGATCCGAGTCCGAGGTGTCACATTGACTTTTCAAAACATTTACTTGTATAAAATGGTGAGTAATTTAAAATTTTTATACATGTAACTTATTCAAAATATTTCCAAAACTATTCAGAGCTTAAATGTTTTTGCAAAACCGATCAGAGCATATACAATTCAAAACATTAATTACATATCAACTATTTTCAATGTACAGAATACATCTAATTCAAAACATCTTTTCTGATCTGATCTTCGGTAAGAAGTAACTGATCTGTCTTGCTCCACTTTGCTCTTTACTCTTCTCACTTCTGTAACCTACGTGTGAAACAATCACACGCTAAGTCTATGACTTAGTGAGGCGAATAAACATAAAATATAAACTATAGCTTGTAATCATGCATGAACAATTACTACTATCACTCATACCCTTATTCGTGTAACAAATCCTTATAACACATATGCAATATATCATTACATATAAGAACATATACACACACATATACTCATCATTTCCATCCTTAGCCTTATTTCATTATCACTATTATTATCGTTTATATCACTTAATACATCTCCTCTTATACCTAGCATTTTAACCAACATTTGACTCATTTAATCATACAATCCACATATCATCATATAAATCATATAATATCATTCATAGCACAAAAGCATACAAGTCACATGTAATATGTTTGTTGTTATTTCTTTATTAGCCCTTGTATACATATGAGAACTATAGATATGTGAGTCTATAGAGGTTGTGCACTAATACTGTCACCACAGCTCGTATAAATGCACCGAAGTGCCACGTAGAATTGCATCGTAGTGCCGCGAAGAAATGCACCGAAGTGCCATATAAGGTTGTCCCTAAGAACCACGTAGAAAATTCCTTAAGAATCATATACATATGCCAAGGATCAAGTATGTGTCTCAAAAGACCTCACACATGTTCCAAAGAATACATATATGTCTCGAATGACCGCGTAGACCCTCGACTCTTGGCATGCCAACTATACCCTAGCTCTCATGACACATAACATGGGCATCATCATTTATGTCATTTCACATTTTCACATAAACACGTAGTTCACTTTCACATAGCACGTAGATTATGTCACATAAGTTGAATCACATATACGTATAAACACGTAGATCACTTTCACATATCACGTAGCTCATATCCACTTTTCATACTATTTCACATTTCTTGTCACATTGCTTATATCTTATTTTTATGTCTTATCATATATATATATATATATATATATATATATATATATATATATTCACATGTTCATATAATTCATCATCTAAATGTGTATTCATATAATTCATCTTCCTATATATATATATATATCATATTTCCTATACTTGTATTCACATCATTTATATTTTCCTTCTCATAATCTCATATGTCCTGATTAATAGCTTATATCATATATGTTTAAAATAACTTATATCATATCATATAGCTTATACCTCATTCTATGATATTCACCTATATCATATCACCTCTGTCATACTCATAAACATATATCACTTCTATTATTTCATTTGTATACTTATCTAATCTATTTACTTAATTCAGTTCATATAGTACCTATAACTTTCTAATATGACTCCGTAGATTTCTATCGTACAACTCATATATCATAATTTTATTTAAGCATATGTATCTTTCCCATCTAGCTCATCTTATATGTTCCTATTATCACTTATGTTCAAGTCTCTTATTTGATATAATATTCTCATATCATCATATAGGTCAATATTATCTATCTTGTTTCAATTCTCATTCAATGATATAATTGTAACACCCCCAACCCGTACCCGACCCGGATACGAGTCCGACGTGTCACATTGACTTTTCAAATCTTGACTCTTAAGAAAAATCCCGGGAAATTTAAAACTTTATTTAAAACAAAATACAGACTTGATCAGAGCGCTCGTACTTAATGACTTATTACATGCCAACACTTTATACATAACCAAATACATACTTTGTTAAATACTTCTGATCTGATCTTTTAGTAGTGATATTGTCTTTGCCACTTATATTCTTTCACTTCTCGTTTCTTGGTACCTACGTGTAAATCACTTACACGCTAAGTCATAGGCTTAGTGAGGCATATAAAACATATAATATAACCATATATCATTTCATATACATAAAAGACATACATATGCAAACACTATCAATAATCCTTTCCACTTACCATATACTCATCATATAACACATATATCACTATACCCAGAAACACACATAACATCATATAATTCATGTATGTGCATTCATATCATTGAATCATGACATATCAATATGCATGAATCTATTGTATGATAACAATATACAATCAGGTCATGCACACATGCAACTTACCTTCTTTTATCACTTTCACTTTCATTTGTCTGTCAATTTCATTGCCCATGTATATTATTGAGAATAGAGGTATGTGAGTACATTGAGGTTGTGCACTAATGCTGTCACCACAGCTCGTATAAATTCCCTCATGGGGCACCGAACATTCGTTCAGTATTCGTCCCGAAGGACCTGTCCAGAGGTTACAAAGAACCCCGGTAACTATCCAGAGGTCATAAAGATCCTCGGCAACTATCCATATGTTCCTTTCAACATAGGTAAACCCTCGACTCTTGGCATGCCAACTATACCTATAGCTCTCGTATCATATACTATGGGCATTTATTTATACATTTCGTATCACTTGTTCTTTTTCTTCTGTCACATACCACATGTATGTGTAACCATATATCTCATATATAAATCACATGTATTATATATACATGTATTCACGTAAATCATTTCATATAATTCATATCACATATATCACATGTGCATATAAGCTTATAGCTTCTTTCACATATACATGTAGTCACATAGCTTTCTTTCATGTAACCATGCATGTCATGTCAAATAACATATATCATATGTTGCATTTTCACTTAAGCATATAAATCATATAACATAGCATCCATCTATTTCTATGTATTAATGCATACATGGTAATCACATAACAATTTAGAAGTTACTTCTTACCATAATAACTCCATCACTGGCTCATCACAAGCCAATGTTAATTCAATAAGTACAAAATAAATTGCACTCACCTTAGCTTTGCTTTGATTCGATTCTAATTCCTCAATTGTCCCGAAACGGATCACTTTCTATCTCTACATAACAATACACAGATTCATATCAATATTCCAATTGATATATTCTAAACTGTCACTTCTTAGGCTAAGAGAAAAGCCCATTTCCTCTTTCAATGAATGTATGCATCGATGCACTACTTGTGCATCGGTGCATAAAATGCATTCGATGTTTTTATTTAATGGGGATGCATCGATGCACTCCTTATGCATCGATGCATAAATCCTATTCGATGTTTTCTATTTAAATTCATGCATCGATGCATCTTAAACAATTTCTGGTATTTATCATCGATGCATCGGTGCACAATGAATGTGCATCGATGCACATTGCCCAGAACTGACATTTTAACACGTAAATCATCAACTCTTCCCTTAATTCTTCTATTTTGATCCCCTATTATGACTTTAAACTCAACTATCATTATTGAAACCAACTTATGCCCATATAAATCATATTTATCTTCCATATTTCATCAAGATTCTTAAAATTAAGAATCCTACTAAACTTTCAAATTTGTTATAAATCTTTTCTAACTTCATAAATCTCTTATTCTTATTGATGACAAGTCAAATTCCATCTTAAAAATCTCTTATTAACTCTTTTCCAGAATTTCCTTTAAAAACTCATTTTCTTTAATCTTTCATAACTTCTTTATCTTTCAATCTTAAGATAACTTAAGCTTTCCTTAAGCTTAGTTATTATCTAATGATCAAAACCCAACCATAAATTTAGCAAATAACCAACTAACAAAGAAACTCACCTTTGCAAGCTTGGCTCTTCACGTTTGAAAGAAGATGAAGATGAAGAAGATAAGTCTAAAACTTATCTCTTCAATCATACCTCTCATATATTATAATACTCATTTATTAATATTTAATATTATCTTTGTTCAATGACCATTTTGCCCTTCATCTACTTTAATAATTACTAACAACTTTTAGGAATTATTTCCAAATAAATCATCGAATTATTCCATTCTTCTACTTAATTCATCAAATTCTTAAACTTTACAATTTAGCCACTAACCCCTAGTTTGGGATGTTACAATTCTCCCCTCCTTAAGAAAATTCGTCCTCGAATTTTCACTTTATAACAATATGAAGCAATCTTTATATACAGTCCTCTTTAATTACTCAATACATATCTCTTTCACTCATGCTATAAATATTCTAACACCACTTATAACACTTATCTTACTTGATTCTTTAAACTCTATCATTCTCATATCTTTCTCTATTTATTCCTCATTATCAAGATTTCCTTATAGCATAACTAAACCATATATTTTCTCATGTTCTCATACGCTATTTAATCCACTCAAGTAACCACAAATCTTATTTACCTGAACATTATACCTTAATGGGTTTATATCAATAAAACTACTACAATTAACTTATAACTAAAATTAGTACTTCTCTCATCAATTTACTGTTCAAATGTAATTATGCTAACCTAAATCAACCAATATCATAACGCATTTACTATACAACCGAAAGATACCTGCCAATAATTCTGGGTCCTCACAGTCTTCATTATCATTAAGATTATATATTCTAGCAGTGGAGCGCATCTCCTGTTGAGTAGAAGATTCTGTTTGATTTCTTTCTCTACCTCTACCCCTACCTCTTTGAGACATCAAAACAGATCGTTCTGATTGTGCAAGCTCTCTGTCCTTCAATGGACAATCTCTCATGAAATGTCCTATTTCCCCACATCGGAAACAAGCTCCAGATTTAGTTCTACATATCCCACCATGATATCTTCCACAATTCTGACAATGTCTCAATTGTGCTCTTCTATCACCAGACTCTACAAATTGAGTATGTCTATCTCTCATCTGACTTGATCCTCTAGCAGAGGATGTCATCGACTCTGACCGTGCTTGAGATCGAAAATCAGAATCTCTACTTCTTTTGGGTGATACTAAACTCGATGAAGGCCCCGTTCTTTTAAAAGATTGAACTCTTTGATCCCCATAACGTTCATTCTGAGCTCTTTCAAGAGCTTTTGCACGATTCACTACCTCTTGAAACGAGGATAGATTTAACACAATCAACATCTCCTTTAATCTCGGGCGTAAGCCCTCCACAAACCATTCGCATGCATCTTTTTCTGTTGGAACTAACTCAGCCGCAAAATGACTCAACTTATTGAATTCACACTCATATTCATATATAGTGTGATCCAATTGCTTCAGATTCAAGAATTCTTGTTTCATTTGCTTGATGAACTGGTCTCCTATATACTTGTGTTTGAACTCTTCTAAAAACAAGAACCAGGTCACTTGGTCACTTGTCATTCTTAGAGTAACGTTCGTCCACCATATTCTTGCTTGTCCAAGAAGCAAGGAGACTACTCCATCTAACTTTTCCATATCAGAACAATGAAGTCCATCTAGCATAATCTTTACGTCATTGAGCCAAAAGTCCGCTTCAACAGGACTCTCCTCAACTTCACCTTTGAATTCAGGAGCTCCTAATCCTTTTAAATCTTTTGCTATATTCCTTCTCGGAGTGGAAGGAGCAGGAGATTGGAAACGCATCAACACCGCGTCTAACGTTCTAAAGAAAACGTCTTGGTCATGCACAGTCACTCCAGAAAGTGTCTGTCCTTCACCTTGCCTGGCCAGGGCAGGTGAATTACTACCTTCAGCTAATCTATCATTTCCCGCTACGTCTCGGGAGTTGTCTTGTCCAGACATCTAATAAAATACAATCATATCATTCTATTAGCAAAACAGTATACTTACTTTCTATCAGATCAGAAGTTTTCACTATTTCGTTGGCATGTATACTTTTTAAAACACTTTTGACTTCGTTTTTAGCCTAGAATCGGCTAAACCGTAGCTCTGATACCATTAAATGTAACACCCCCAACCCGTACCCGACCCGGATACGAGTCCGACGTGTCACATTGACTTTTCAAATCTTGACTCTTAAGAAAAATCCCGGGAAATTTAAAACTTTATTTAAAACAAAATACAAACTTGATCAGAGCGCTCGTACTTAATGACTTATTACATGCCAACACTTTATACATAACCAAATACATACTTTGTCAAATACTTCTGATATGATCTTTTAGTAGTGATACTGTCTTTGCCACTTCTATTCTTTCACTTCTTGTTTCTTGGTACCTACGTGTAAATCACTTACACGCTAAGTCATAGACTTAGTGAGGCATATAAAACATATAATATAACCATATATCATTTCATATACATAAAAGACATACATATGCAAACACTATCAATAATCCTTTCCACTTACCATATACTCATCATATAACACATATATCACTATACCAGAAACACACATAACATCATATAATTCATATATGTGCATTCATATCATTGAATCATGACATATCAATATGCATGAATCTATTGTATGATAACAATATACAATCAGGTCATGCACACATGCAACTTACCTTCTTTTATCACTTTCACTTTCATTTGTCTGTCAATTTCATTGCCCATGTATATTATTGAGAATAGAGGTATGTGAGTACATTGAGGTTGTGCACTAATGCTGTCACCACAGCTCGTATAAATTCCCTCATGGGGCACCGAACATTCGTTTAGTATTTGTCCCGAAGGACCTGTCCAGAGGTTACAAAGAACCCCGGTAACTATCCAGAGGTCATAAAGATCCTCGGCAACTATCCATATGTTCCTTTCAACATAGATAAACCCTCGACTCTTGGCATGCCAACTATACCTATAGCTCTCGTATCATATACTATGGGCATTTATTTATACATTTCGTATCACTTGTTCTTTCTCTTCTATCACATACCACATGTATGTGTAACCATATATCTCATATCATATCACATGTATTATATATACATGTATTCACGTAAATCATTTCATATAATTCATATCACATATATCACATGTGCATATAAGCTTATAGCTTCTTTCACATATACATGTAGTCACATAGCTTTCTTTCATGTAACCATGCATGTCATGTCAAATAACATATATCATATGTTGCATTTTCACTTAAGCATATAAATCATATAACATAGCATCCATCTATTTCTATGTATTAATGCATACATGGTAATCACATAACAATTTAGAAGTTACTTCTTACCATAGTAACTCCATCACTGGTAACTCCATCACAAGCTGGCTCATCACAAGCCAATGTTAATTCAATAAGTACAAAATAAATTGCACTCACCTTAGCTTTGCTTTGATTCGATTCTAATTCCTCAATTGTCCCGAAATGGATCACTTTCTATCTCTACATAACAATACACAGATTCATATCAATATTCCAATTGATATATTCTAAACGGTCACTTCTTAGGCTAAGAGAAAAGCCCATTTCCTCTTTCAATGAATGTATGCATCGATGCACTACTTGTGCATCGGTGCATAAAATGCATTCGATGTTTTTATTTAATGGGGATGCATCGATGCACTCCTTATGCATCGATGCATAAATCCTATTCGATGTTTTCTATTTAAATTCATGCATCGATGCATCTTAAACAATTTCTGGTATTTATCATCGATGCATCGGTGCACAATGAATGTGCATCGATGCACATTGCCCAGAACTGACATTTTAACACGTAAATCATCAACTCTTCCCTTAATTCTTCTATTTTGATCCCCTATTATGACTTTAAACTCAACTATCATTATTGAAACCAACTTATGCCCATATAAATCATATTTATCTTCCATATTTCATCAAGATTCTTAAAATTAAGAATCCTACTAGACTTTCAAATTTGTTATAAATCTTTTCTAACTTCATAAATCTCTTATTCTTATTGATGACAAGTCAAATTCCATCTTAAAAATCTCTTATTAACTCTTTTCCAGAATTTCCTTTAAAAACTCATTTTCTTTAATCTTTCATAACTTCTTTATCTTTCAATCTTAAGATAACTTAAGCTTTCCTTAAGCTTAGTTATTATCTAATGATCAAAACCCAACCATAAATTTAGCAAATAACCAACTAACAAAGAAACTCACCTTTGCAAGCTTGGATCTTCACGTTTGAAAGAAGATGAAGATGAAGAAGATAAGTCTAAAACTTATCTCTTCAATCATACCTCTCATATATTATAATACCCATTTATTAATATTTAATATTATCTTTGTTCAATGACCATTTTGCCCTTCATCTACTTTAATAATTACTAACAACTTTTAGGAATTATTTCCAAATAAATCATCGAATTATTCCATTCTTCTACTTAATTCATCAAATTCTTAAACTTTACAATTTAGCCACTAACCCCTAGTTTGGGATATTACAATAATTATATTTTACTATTTCACATAAATGTTCATACCACTATTTACTTGCCCAACTCACATTCTTATTGTTTATATAACCTTTACATTTGATTACTTCATTCATATCATTTCTTCTAAACTCGCTTTTTACCATATTACCATATTATTACCTAATTTATCCCATATCATGTATTCGCGTAGTCTTATATTTCATTTCTATATATCTCAAAGATCTTATCACATAACTTCTCTTTTATATTCATATAATTTCTTATCATATCATATAGTTTATATCATCATAACATAGCATATATTCACATCAACCATGAAATATATATACAATAACATGTAAACACATACCATAACATATAACTCAGACACTCATAACAAACACATGTTCATGTTCATACTTCATGCACAATACTATAGAAAATAGACTTGTCGCAAGTCTTATTTCCCATTAAACATCATATATAAAATAATGCGCACTCATCTGGCCTCACTAGTCAATACCGTTTTTACGATTTCCTTTCTTTCGATCAAATCTTAACTTGATAATCGTTATGAAACTTGTTCATGTTCGATATCTATATAATCATACATTGATACATATCAGTATCCCATTGATATACTCTAATCTATCATTTCTTAGACCAAAAGAAATGTCTATTTCTATTTCCCCTTGAAGTGCATCGATACATTCTACAGTGCATCGATGCATTCTTTAACATGTGCATCGATGCACTACCCATGCATCGATACACCAATCACCTTCAATGTTTTCATTTTAAGGGGGTGCATCGATGCACTCCTTATGCATCGATGCACTAATTGCATTCGATGTTTCTTCTTTAAAGAGTGCATCGATACACATTGAATGTGCATCGATACACCTTGCCCAGAATTTGCATTTTAAGCCCGAAAACCATCAACTTTTCACTCAATTCTTCTATTTTAAGCCCCTATCATGTCATTAAACTCAACTACCATTACTTAAACCAACTTATATCCATATAAACCATCTTTATCTTCCATATCTCATCATGATTCTTAAAATTTAAAAATCTTACTAAACTTTCAACTTTGTTATTAATCCTTTCTAACTTCATAAAACTCTTATTCTTATTGATGGCAAGTCAAATTCAACTTTCAATTCTTATTATAAACTCTATTTCAATATTTCACTCAAGAACTCCAAATCTTTAATCTTCCCTAACTCATTTATCTTTTAATTTTAAGATAACTTAAGCTTTCCTTAAGCTTAGTTATCATCTAATGATCATAACCCAACATTAAATTTAACCAGAAATTGTCTAAATAGAAGACTCACCTTTGGTTCAAGCCTTCACGTATGAAGAAGGAATAAGAGAAGAGAACTCTAGAACCTTTTCCCTCTTCCCATGTGGTTTCCTTAACTTATAAGGGAAAATAAAAATCTTCATTGTCAAATGACCATTTTACCCTTTACTTCATTTAATAATTACTAACAACTTTCTGGAAATATCACCACATAAATCATTGAACTGTTCAACTATTCTACTTTTATCCCCATATTCTAAAATTTTACAATTTAGTCACTAACCCGGTATTAAGGATGTTACAAAATGATAATCTTCTTGAATTTTATTTATTTTTAACACTTGTTCACATGATAAATTGCATGTGTTTTTTATGTTAAGAAAAATAAGAAAAAAATAATTTTTTTGATTTTTCTTGAACTATGTATAACTTTATAGCACATTAAATTTAAATCGTTTATATAATAAATATACATATTTACAATTTAATCCATTTTATTTTAAATTCACGCCATATTTAATTTGACATTTAATGCTTAAACTAAAAATTTGACGGGTGAAATGGTCTTAATCAATACATTACTAGTGCTTGAGGATTCAATTTGAATGTTTTCAAATTTAAGGATCAATTTACAACTTGAGCAATGGTTTGAGAATTTTTTAAAAATAAGCCATTGTTATAATAATAATAATAATAATAAATATAGAAGATGTGTGAGGCCGAAGCTCAATTAATGGTTGGGATCCAATGCAAAGATAAGACAGCCAGGCCATGAGGTGGGGAATGGATTGGAGACGTGGTAAGTAAAAGCTACACAGCCAAATTAAGGATACAAATGATGACGATGAGTGGGGGAGGTTGATCCAGAAGACTGCTTGACCGGTGATGAAATGGATACCGATGATGGTGAAGAAACAGAACAAGAGCAATTAACTAGATCCACATTGTTGTTTTATGTGCGATATCAACCATTGAGAGCTGCATGGTTCACATGCATAAGTTTCATGCTTCCTTCATTCCTGACCTTGAGTATTTGAAGAATCCAGAAGGCTTGTTGATCTACCTTGGCCTTAAGGTAACATATTTTATGTGATTTTGTTATATAAATATGTTGTATAATTTTTAGTTCTTTCATGCTCATGTTATGGTTTCTTTATATATCTCAGGTTAAAAGGGATTTCATTTCTGTATTGAAATGAAAGGCGCCGGCCTTTTACTAGCTTGGATGCGGTTAGGAAACATATGACAGCCAAAGGTCACTGTAAAGTGCATTATGGTGATGGTGATGAAGATGAGAAAGATGAGTTGGAAGAATTCTACGATTATAGCAGCAGGTATGCATCCTTTTACACTTTTTACCCTGGATAATTCTTCTTCATCCACAATAATCTTTTTTTTATTAAGTTGCTATTGCTTATTATCATTTGAAAACAGCTACGTGGATGATAGTGGGAATGAGGTGGTTGCTGTTGGTGAGAAGTGCAACACTATAAAACTTGGTGGTGGCTCAGAGCTTACTATAACCAGAAAAGAACTAGGACAAAAACACTTGGTTCTAGAGAATACTTGAGCTACCTTCGCCAGAGTCCCTGCCCACCTCGTGCAAATAACATGGCCTTACTGCTTGCCTTAGCTTCAAGGTCTACTTTCACTCATACTTGGTCTTTTGGAACACCCCCAACCCCATCCCCTTCCCTTTTCTAACCAAAACAAAATACAAGGATTTTGAAATCCTTATTTTTCTGCCTTCTCTAATTTAATTATGGAATAACAATGAACACAAAACTATAATCAGATAGTAACCTTGTAATAAATACATTATAACTTCATTTAGCCAACGTACTCGCATGAATGACATCACCACAACAATATGCCTTCACTTTGCCTTTTTCTTATAGAGATCTTGGCTCTCGAGTGTTCTTTACATCGACTTAGGTGTCTATTTGCATTAATAAATATAATATATACACATATATTAAGTGAAGTAATTTTCGCAACAAAATGAACAATATAACCACAAGAAATTAAGTTTTACACGATCCAGCATAACAAGCTCCAAAGGTGTTTTTACATGTTCAAGAATCTAAAACTGTCTGCAGCAGCAATTACCAAATTGCTCACCACTTGCACAGGATCAATTCTCGGCTTCACTAATTCAATATGCAGCTGCTAGCAAAATTTGAGCGAATGAATAGTTAAAACCCACATAACCCTTTAAGCAAAGCCGTAGGGTTGTCACAATACCAGTGAAAATTTAAGGTAAGCTCGTCAACAGATTGCTTTGTAAAGGGAAAAAATAGATCTAAATGGTACATACCTAATTATCATAAAAGCGGGATCGGCGTCTTTGAGAACTGTGCAAACCATGAACAAAAAATCAATAAATTTTGAAGAAAACAAGGTCGTGAAACTAGTAACTGCATTCATGTTTATTCTAATAAACATGTCAATGAAACAATTTGATTCGTTTTTCATACCTCACTACTCGCTAGTACTCTCACAATCATCTCGTTATTATCCAAGTAATGTTGGTCAAACATCTTATAATTATCTAAAATATATGACCTTTATGATATCTTGAGAATACTAATTCTCTTTCACAATCCTAGGACGCTTATGTAGAAAACCAATTATTATGACAATAAGCCATGTGGGAAGAATAAAGGAACATTAATGACCTTCGATAGCTGGTGCTACCTCCTGAGGGGCCACTTGTGCTCACAAACTCATCATCAGTCTCATCTACTCTATATTCTGCAAAGTCTACAGAATGCACTGAACCTTCATCAGAAGTTGATGAAGCATAACCAGAACGGCGAGTTCTCCTCCTAGTGTCTCTGACTCTTGATCTCCTCCTATTTCTAGAATTCCTGAAATTATTAAACATCTGATATAAAATGCAAGAGGTCCACCAGTTGCCCTCATCACCTGGGAAGTCTTCCAATTCTTCTCTAGATTCATCTTCACCATATTCAATTACATAGTCTCCAAGAACCACTCCACGTGGGACTTCTAAATGTATAGTGCTCAAAACATCTACTATCTCAGAGGACTGCTGGAAATTTTCCCAATCAAGCTGCCGAGCAGGATCTATTCTTGAAGGACGTGCATGAGGGTGCTCTAACCGAGCATGCTTTTGTAGTTCCAAGAAGGTTCCTGCAAATGTGCACTGTTCCTCCTCACAAGAACGCTTCTTCTCATCTAGAAGTAAACGAGCCTTGTCAACAATAATCCATCCAGTGACTTGCCCTCTACATAGGGGACAAGTTGGCCTGCAGTTGTCTTCAGATCCTGCTAGCTGAATGTTTGCTATAGAAGACATATCAGATGTTGAAAGGGACGACATTCCATGCGCATTTTTGAATCGATCCAAACAATTTGAATGCATGTGATCTGTGTCGCAAACAAAAGCACGGCATCCTTTCCCATAGGATGAGCATTGGAGGAGTACCCCATTGTGGGGGAAATTCAAACATATAGGACAAATCACATCATCCCAATTGGTATTCAACTGAACATCCTCCATATAAGACAATGTATTGGGTTGGTGCTCTCTTTTGTCAAAACGTTCAAAGGCCATAAAGAGTTTGCATAATAATTTACAAGCACATGGCATGCACCTCCCTCGTACAAGAAACTTGGATCAAAACCGGAAATTACTTTTTTTGGACAAACCAACCAAGCTCGACCGTTGATAATCTATAAGATGTCACTACAAAGCTGCACATGGCAGAAAAAAATATCTTAAGTTGCATTAGGCAACAGTTTAATTGCATCTCATATCCATAGCGATCAAGCATTTTTTTAAGCTATAGGTTGAGAAGGATTAATCATTAATTTTACAACTAGTACAATCTTAAAACCAGTCAAATGATCAGATGCCTACAATAGCATAGAACTGATTTCCAAACAGAATGGTTTACTTTGATGACATAATTGTTAATAAGGGGTAGTGTTAGGACAAGTTGATAGGGTGAAAGGAGTGTGCCCTTGCCCCTGTTGTTCTAGTGCAGAGTTGGGGCTTGACCTAGCCTAATTGTTTGATTGTTTTTTGGATGAAATGAAAGTATATTGATTATCCAAAAAAAAAGACATAATTGTTAATAACGATATACTAAAATGATAGCAAATGAAAGAATAAAGTGCATAGACAACAACGACAATGATGGAGAAAAGAAAAACACTGCAGTAAAACAACCAAATCCGTCACCATACCTAAACACCAACCAAAATGATCAATTGGGTATTCAACGAATTGGGAAAAAGGAGTCCATAGATCAACAAATATTGTCAAAAATGATTACACCCAGATTGCCTAAGACATTCAACCAAAATTTAAAGCTGCCTACATAACATATTTAAGGAAAACATAAAGAGGACGAAAGAGAAGTGAGAAAATCGGGGGCTTACCTTCGATGTATTATGTTTTGATGTATTATGTTTTGCACTTCCTTTCTCTAATGTTGTGTAGATATTATTGAGAAAGGTCAGCTTTTTCCTCTTCTTTTTGATGCAGTTGTTGAGTACATGGATTGGAAATGGGTAGGCTCCTGATGCTTATATATATTATAGAGATATATTGACTTTCTACGCGATAGAAAGTTGAGGGGATTAGTGGAAGGAGAAAACACGGGGAAGGGACAAAAATGGCAAATTACTTGTAAACATTAGGGGCTTAGGGTTTCAATTGCCCCAACCTTTAAATATTAGATACTTGGGGTTTCAATTACTTCATAAAATCCCTTTTCTTTTCGTCTTTATTTGTGCCAACGATTGAACTTAGAGTTGCTATTCCAATTGTTATATTTTCATCAACATCATGTCATCTGAATCGAAAGAGCAGCAGCTGAGCAAAAAAGCCGCCAAAAAAGAAGCTGCCAAACAGGAGAAGTTGCGCCGCCGCCAGGAAGCTGCTGCCTTGTCCTCCGCGGCTTCTTCTCTCTCCGTCGAGGAGGATGATCGCTTTTCCTCCAACTATGGCGACGTCTCTCTCCCGGAGCTCAAATCTTGCTCCCAAACAGATGCTGGCCATTGGAGCCTAGCCATTTCCTCCATGGAATGGACCCCTGTTGGAGCACTTACCCAGGATTTGAAGGAGAAGGAGGTGCTTATAAGGGGACGAGTCCACATAACACGACCTGTGTCGAAGAATATGGCGTTCGTGGTGGTGAGGGAAAAGGGATTTACCGTCCAGTGTCTGGTCACTACGCAAGGAGAGGGAGTTAGTCGTCAGATGGTGAAGTTTGTTGCTGGACTCAACCGAGAATCCATCGTTGATGCAATCGGTGTGGTATCTGTCCCTGGGAATCCCATCAAAGGAACCACCCAGCAGGTACCGACTTTTTCTGATAGAGCTTTTCTTTTCTTTTACTTTATTAACTGAGAAAAATGAAATTCTGATATCCATTGATGGACCTTTACTTTTTATTGTTCAAGGTCGAGATTCATCTCAGAAAATTGTATTGTGTGAACAAAGCTTTGCCCACCTTACCCATTAACGTTGACGATGCTGCTCGAAGTGATGCTGAGATTGAAGCTGCCTTGCAAGTATGTAATAAATACCATTATTTTGCTTTCACGGTGGAAAAAGAAGCAATGTATACATCTATATATGTCTGTATGCATGTTTACCATCACTCACCCGTCTTTCCTTTAATCTACTACAGAGTGGGGATAAACTTCCTCGTGTCAATCAAGATACACGTTTGAACTTCAGAGTTCTTGATATTCGAACCCCTGCTAATCAAGGAATTTTCCGCATCCAGTGCCAAGTTGGAACCGTAAGTCTCGGAGGATTTGCTGTTGCCAGCATCTTCTCTTTCTTTCTTTCTTTCATTCTTGCTTGCTTTCTATCACTATGATTGTCACTGCATGCTATCATGCCTGCCCTTGACATTTTTCTTGTCCACAAAATTTTAACTGAACAGATATGGATATGTCTTGGCATTCGTTACATTTCTCACATCAGCTCAAGAACTTGGTTTTTGTTCACCATTGTTTAATATAATCTTTAATCTCTAAAGATTATAATTGTTTGTTTATTTTATTGTTTCCATCTTCTATCTAAACTGCTAAATGTTTTCTCAAACAAGTCCAAACATTCTGCAGATATTTAGGCAATTCTTGCTGTCCGAGGGTTTTGTTGAAATCCATACCCCTAAATTGATAGCAGGCTCTAGTGAAGGTGGTTCTGCTGTTTTTAAGCTTGACTACAAAGGGCAACCTGCATGTCTGGCACAGTCTCCTCAACTTCACAAGCAGATGGCAATCTGTGGGGATTTTGGGCGGGTTTTCGAGATTGGCCCTGTTTTTAGAGCTGAGGACTCATTCACTCACAGGCATTTGTGTGAATTTACAGGTCTTGATGTTGAAATGGAGATTAAGAAGCATTACTCTGAGGTATGATTTGTTGTTGGCTCGGGTCATGTCTCCTGATCTTCTATATGGTTTAATGGATATTTGATCCTCTACATGCAGGTGATGGACATTGTGGACAGATTGTTTGTTACTATGTTTGATGGTTTGAATGAGAGGTGTCAAAAGGAACTTGAAGCTGTAGGCAGGCAGTATCCCTTTGAACCTTTGAAGGTATATATCCATTTTTCAGTTCTGCAATACTTGCATAGCTATTAAGCTTCTGTACTATTTTGGAAAATTAAATAACCTCATAGTAGGCAGTTAAATATTGCTGGAATGGAAAGAAACATGCAAATGTGGAATTCTTTTTTTTTTAATCTATATTCTATTGTTAACTGTTTGTAATGTGCAGTACAAGCCAAAAACCCTGCGTCTTACATTTGAAGAAGGAGTCCAAATGCTGAAGGTAAACTTGATGCTTTTTGGTTATTTAAGTTCAAGTCACTTGTTGTGGTATTTTCTTCTTCTTTTTATTTGCACTCATGTTAAAGAGGAAATAGGTGAAATAAATGAGGTGACACAATCAATGCACAATAGAAGTAATTAGAATGGTAGCAGGAGAGAATATAAAGTGGAAAAGGAAGTAATTTGCTTAAGTTGTTATGCTTGGATCAGAAACCAAGGATTTCTTATAGATCGGCTATGTTAAAAGGTTGTCTTTTTTTTAGCTGATATTGTTTGTAGTTCACCACCTCCCAATTTTCATGTGCTTGTTCAGGATGCTGGTGTGGAAGTTGACCCTCTTGGGGACCTTAATACAGAAGCAGAGAGAAAACTGGGCCAGCTAGTTTTGGAGAAGTAATTTATAACTTTTACCTCTTTCTTGTACATTTTTGTTCTGCTGTTGTTTTTTTTCTATTGAATGTGATTTTCTAATTATGATTTTAAAACTGTTTATTATAGGTATGACACTGAATTTTATATTCTGCACCGCTATCCTTTGGCTGTGAGGCCATTCTACACCATGCCTTGCTATGATAATGCCCTTTATAGTAATTCATTTGATGTCTTCATTCGAGGTAATCAATCTGATCAATAGATCCTTTCTTTGTTCTCTTTATGCATTCTTGATCTATTTATCTGTATCTGTGTGTGGGTACTTTTGTTCTGCTTAAGCATGTTTTTGTTAGACATTTTACTCTCTTTTAGATATATATTTTTAAAAAATCCCTTTATATGGTTTTGGAATTTTTGTGTCTGATATTCTCCTGACAAGGTTTCTCTTTTTTTTATAAGATTCTCCTGACAAGGTTTCATGTGAGGATTTTAGTTTCATTGGTACAAATGGTTTCAAGAATGGACTGAAATTGTTAATTATCATGTCAGTGTCAAGAATAATCATGTCCTCTGTAAATGACTGAAAATGTGAAATGAAATTTGAAATGAACTCCAAGCAAATCTGAAGCTCTTTTGATGGGGTATGGTTTTCCTGCCTGGATGATATTGTTAATAGAAGATTATAGTGCAATATTGTGGTAATAATTGAGCAACGATTGGTTCACTGGATTAAAATAATGACATTTTTTGCACTAATTGAATATGCATGTAAACCTTTTTTTTGTTTGTATCCAACATGATATAACTACATTCATGGTCTGTTCCTTTTCCTAATGGGCTTACATTTGTTGCTAATTCTCTCTTTGTTTTTGTCCCCTTGTGTGATCTTAAACTTAGGAATCTCTCCATTTTTTTATATTATTGTTCTCTTGAAACTTATATATGGTAATGCTATTAATGAAACTTGTTTAACTGTTTCGTATCCTTTAGGTGAGGAGATAATTTCAGGAGCCCAGCGTGTCCACGTACCAGAATTTTTGGCAGAACGTGCACTGGCATGTGGAATTGACGTCAATACAATCTCAACCTATATTGATTCTTTCAGGTAGTCAAAAATCGCCACTTTCTCTAGTACCTTGCTTTTCTTCTAGTAGTAAGTTTCAATAGTGAATCTGTATTGACCAAACTTTTGATCGGATAAAGTATGAGAAGTGGTTATAATAATATTTTTATGTCAATGTTTAAATAGTATCTGTTGCTGAGGCTTTTGTTGGTGCTAATAGAATTGAATAGCTTAGAGTTCTTAATGCTTCTGCACTTGTACAGATATGGTGCTCCTCCACATGGTGGGTTTGGAGTGGGATTGGAAAGGGTGGTGATGCTTTTCTGCGCTCTGGGTAACATTCGTAAAACTTCACTTTTCCCTCGTGACCCTCAAAGAATTGCTCCGTGATGACATGATAGAGCAGTGCTTCATCCCATGCTATTTAGTGGTATTTTATTTGAAGTTTGTTAAGGTGTTTAATGGATAGAGAATCGAAAGAATCTTATCTGTTTTGTCTTTGGAGGTTTGATGGTTGTTATTCACTTGACTGATTGTTCGCTGTTGTATGTTTTGACTTTTGAGACACGTATTTAGAATAAGGCGAGCATTAAGACACAAAAACAGGTTCTTGAATCTTAAAGAGAGTAACTCTGCAAATGAGCGGGTCGGTTGTTGACTGTCTCATGATCTAAGCAAGCAATCAAATAGAACTAGTCAACTTCAATGTTCCTCCTTGCTTGCTCACACGCATTAAGTAGAAATAATTTGGGTTTGATGGCATGCAAGTTCCTATCACATACTTATCATCTTTATCTCTTGAATTTGACTTTAAGGACCCTTCAAAAGGGTTAACCTCTCCAATGGAATGGCTGTAAGATATGCCCAAAGGACTCAAGGATTTTAGTTTATTCTTGCAAGCATTGAACATGACACGGTTTTAAATGCCAGGGTTTCATTGTCTATGTTGCAAACTGCAAATATTGAAATGCTAAGGAGGATCTCCTGCAATAACCACCGGCATCAACATGCCAAGCTAGGGCCTAGGAAGAACCTGCGACTTTTGGAGGGAGTAAGCTCATTTATCTTCCTTATAGATTCGAGACTTATCATCTAGTTGATAAAATCAAGCTTTAACGAGATCATTTCGACAATGAAGCATTGGTTAATATTCAGTAGAGACGTCGGATTTTGGAATCTCAACTTGCTAACCTACAACCTCATTCAAGAAGGCTCGAATCTCTTCGTATTGGCTTCAATAATCGTGTGCCAGCTGGTTTGTCCATGAGGACGAAAATATTAGGGGGGGTCATGCAAGTACAATTCTAACCTTTAGAATTTATTATCAGAATTGCACGTCTTAAACTAATCTTAGGCATAAACATATAGAAACCGAACAAGCAAGAGGCAAATATATAATTGCGCTTTACACCATTATAGCACGCTCTTTTCAACAGCTTGCGCCTCAAGCAATATAATGGTTTTAACACCTGAAGAAAAATCTTGTGCCTTGACAACATCGACTACATGATGGAGCAAATCATTTGTCAATCATGTGACACTTAGGATGAGTATTACAGATGACTTATTTTTAATCTGGATATCCTCTAATCTTCCAAGTTTTAAGGTATCACTAAGAATCATATTTTATGCTTATGTCTAGATATGTGTTGGACACCGATATTTAAAAAAAAAATGAAAAAGTAGAGCTCATTTTGGCAACAGCTAGACAAAGAGCCCCGTCGGCAAGCCAAACAAAAGGAGTCGGATAGAAGTAGAAAGGAATGTCATTGGTAAGATAAATTACGTGCAATTGCCTCTTTGGTTCCATATCCATGCACTTTTGATTTGTTAAGCATGACAGTAAGCTCCAATGCAACATCAGAAGTGGAGCGGAAAGGCCCAACTGTATGCATCATAGGAATAGAAGACGGTGGAAAGGAAGGGTAGATAACCCAAGCTTGTACCTGTAGTAACCACAACCCTCACCACCAAAGAGGAAACTATCTTGCTGCTTTTCAGGAATCATGGCTTAATAAGGAAAACAAAAAGTGACAGCAGAGTATACTGATATTGAAAAGGAAACTCTAGGAAACAAAATAAGAATCAAATCCCTAACAACAAATCAGTGGCAGTGACCACCAGGTGAAAAAGCAAAAGAAAACACCACAATAAGACGTTGATCTAATTGAGAACCCGCTTTTAAACAATAAAAGAGTTAACGGATGTGGCAGGCACTGCACGCGCGCGCACACACACACATATGGCTACAGAGAGAAACCACTTCACATCTATGATCCTCTTACTACTACTAAAGCTACAACCCCATTGGTTCAAGTGCAACTCACCAACATAAAAAACCAGCAGTCTTAATCCTTACCTTCTTCTATTTGAAAACAAAGGAGAAAACAAGATTCGAAAGAAAAAAAAAAAAAAAAAGAGAAAAGTACTGATACATACACCAACTTATATTTAGATTCTTAAACCTGCTATTTTGATTTTCATTTATATCCTCTTTTCCTTTCTGTTCTTCACTCTTTTATTCTGGATCAGTCTATTGTCATTGGTTGAGCCATGCAACACCTAAAACGAGCCTTACGAACAGTTGTCATTATCTCAGTTTCCGCATTCTCGAGCATCTTCACAATCTCAGTAAACGGAGGACGAACTTCTGGGTTAACGTCCCAGCAACGGATCATGATCTCACTCAGAACAGGGAGACAATCATTTGGAATAACTGGACGTACACCCTTGTTCACCACAGCAAATGCTGCCTGCACTGCAGTCATGTTCTGGAAAGGGAGCATGCCAGTTATAAGCTCCCAAAGGACAATTCCAAAACTATACACATCTACTTTTTGCGTGTAGGGCCTATGTTGTATCATCTCTCTGCAAGTGTAAAGAATAGCACAGAATCACAACCAACAGTATCATTGTCATAAATAAAGACAATTTTGAATAAAAAACGTAACGAATAGACAACTCGGACGCCACATCAACTGATTAGCAAATATACACAGTTTCATTTAAAAGATAATTCAGCTAAAAAAATGAACTAAATGCTAAAACAAATACACCAATGACACCAGTACGTAAATACGACATATAATTGCAACTCAGTTTCCGATACTCCATTTGGAACAGGAAAGCATTTACCTGAAACATGCAAGTAACATGGCAAGCAAAATTCAAATAAAAAAAAAAGGAGAAATACGAAAAGTAAAGAGTAATAAGATGAAGTGATGTGATTTTCTCAACTTTTTTCCACCACGGTGGGGAAGCATTATTGAAGTGCATATTAAGTCAAGGCACGAGGAACGGAATTAAAAATACACAATTTTCGATGCCTCAACTTATTTCATTGCTTTGAGTATAAAACATACAGAGTACATTATGTATTTATGTCTGCGCCTCTAGCCGACAACCGTTAGGCTAAAAAACATTCATGGGTAATAAATATATATACATATATGACATTCTACGTTATCAGATATCATTATATCAACTCAAGTATCACACTTTAACTTTCTATCAAAGTTAAATTGTGAAACTGGAACTTATCCTATGAAAAGAGTATCCTTCAAGCCAGTCAGTACTTTGCCCTCTACAAAGGCATTAACAATTTTCCTACCCTAACAATCAACAAGACCGAGCCAAATAGAAAGAAATTTTGTAGAATCATCTTAACAAGAAAATGTAACAATCACTTTTAACAATCTGTTTAAGTTTGGTAACCCAAAAAGAATATTCCCAATTTTTGGAATAGTTGGCCGGACCGTACATTCTTTAATTGCTGCGTTTTGAACTGCCTCATTTTAAAATGCAATAAAAATCTTAAATTGCTCTATCCAAATTAACCTAACTATGAGACTTGTTTTAAATCTAGGAAATTCTTGGTAAAACATACTTACGTCCGACCTCCTTATTTGTGCAGACTTCATAGTAGGCCATTACTAAGTACATAAAAAGAATTGCTCAGCTTCCTCTGTTGCGACCATGAGTTTGGAATTGAGTCACACAATGGGTTTTATTTTTCCATTCGTCCTTTAATAAGGACCGGTCTAATTACATAAATAGGAAACCTCTTCTAGAAATTAAAGAAATCACTAAAATAAAATCGCAATCGAGAAACCTGAGAAAAGAAATCAACTGAACAAAATCACAATCAAGAAACCTATGCAGTACCTAGAAAACTCAAACTTATGCCTTTCCTAAAACAGGTTCGGCCCACAAACATCCACAACATCCTCCCTCTAACTCCTTGCTTCAACTCAACATAGGCCATAAGTAAGTACATTGATTCAATTATTTGTCTTTCTACCTTGCTTCGCATGACACAGCAGAAACAGTAACCACCCAACATTTAACTACAACTCTTAACCCATCTGTTTGTTTACATCACTATTACTCGATGCATAGTTATGTAAAGGCTGTAAATAACATAAAAGTTGATAAGATCGGGAAAGTGAAAACCCAAGCTTCAAAAGTAAGTGTGATAGATCCTTTGGCCATCATGAACAGATTTGTTCCAGTGGATGAGGCAGATAGATTTGGATGCTTGGGAATTAGACTCTTGAGAACAGTACCATAGAAATTTAGAGACAAATCATGAGTGCTGCCTGTGAGTCCAACCTCACTGCTGTGCAATAAAATGTGCACACAGTAATCTACAAGTTTCAAATAGACTGAAGGGAGCTTTAAGAACTCCTATCTTGCTCTGGTACAACCAACACAGTTTATGTGCAGCTACCAGAGGTAATCACTGAGCCATATGGAAGCCTTGGTTGTTATTTCTTATAGTGATATGGTTTTATGAATTATAAACAAAATTAATGGATAAGTATGCATTAATGCTTGATGAGCACTTTATTTATCAAGTATCCATAGTTGTTACATTTTTATGTTGCTTCAGGAAGAGGCCTAAATTACTGTAAGCTGCAAGGCATCCAAATACAACCACTTGCACCTACATTGGAGAGAGGCCTCAAACATTCAATCTTATGAGATGATACTTGTACAATCCACAATAATCTAATCCAACTTTCTTCTAGATATGCAAGAATTCTGTGAATATACTCAATAATTTCTTTACAATATCCAGTTGAAAGTGGGGATCTACAACACACCATATCAAATCACATTTATTAATGTAGAAACTTCCTTCAAATTATCAAACAAAAGAATCAGATATTTTAGAAGAAACTGCATAACCAAACTGAGATTCAGATAAAGGCGTAAATAAGTTTTATATTAACTTGACAATTTTAAAAGAAAGCTCAAAATAATATAGAATCAAAAGCTAAGAAGATGCCAAAAACACAAGATAGCAGAACCTTACACGGAAGGACTTACTCCCTAACACAATCCACAACAAAAAACATAATAGATTGTTGGAAAAAAATGTTAATTAAACAAAGGGGCAAGAAATCTATGCAAAAAGAAAGCACAACATTAAGGGATTTCTTTACAAGTTCCAGGAGAATTCATGCCAACTAGTGAGAATCTTCTGAAAAAATGAAAGAGCCAAAACAAATGTGAATGTACTTTATAACTTGAAAGAAACTGTTGTATATAAGGGTCTAATGACTTACGGAGCCATCCAACGATATGTCCCTGTCTCGGGTGTCATGCCCTCAGTCTGCACCTCAATACGTGCAACACCAAAATCTGCAATCTTTATTGATTTATCAGCAGCTATTAGAAGGTTATCTGACTTCAAATCCCGGTGAATAAACCCAAGCCCATGCACATAAGCCATCCCTCTAGCAACATCCAATGCCTGCTTGACTGCCAATTTCAATGGCACAGCGCGATTCTGCCTTTTCGTTAGAAACTGTCTAACTGAGCCTCCCTTAGCATACTCGGTGACGATACACCAAACCATTGGCTTACGACACGCCCCAATAAATCGCACAATATTAGGATGCTTCAGTGTTGCAAGCATCATAAGTTCCTGCTGAAACTGCTGTTCCATAACTTGTGCCTTCTCAGGGCTATTCTCAGGCCTTTCTAATATCTTAATCGCAACATCCTCACCGTTATATGTACCCCTGTATAACTTTCCAAAAGCACCTTGAGCAAAAGCTGTACCCATGTTAAGTCTTCTTAAATCGATAGTCCACTCATCATAATTCTGTAATACCTCAGTTTGGTACCTGCCATCCATCAATGCTTGAGCTAATGCATCATCATTAAGCGCATGGCCAACCTTACCAGGACGAAACACACTCTGGCCCACAGAGACAGAGTAATTGTGGCGGTTCACAGGTTTTAAACCAGGGTGGCCTAAAATGTGGGTTAGAGAATCATTAGAGTCCACACTACTGTTTTCGACTGACATGGACATTGATCCACCAGCATTACTTGTTTGTAAACTGTCAATAGACATGTTTGTTCCCTCGCCAAGTTTTTGATAGAACCCTTGAGTGAAATCATAGTAATTGTTGTCATTATTGTTGGTTCCTCCCATAAGACCCGTAAATTTAGGCCCCTCGACCATTTTCCCAAAAGTGAATGAAACCTCAAATGATCAAATCAGGATAACAAGTTCTCTTTAGCCCAAACTCTTGGTCCAGTCACTCAAGATATCACCTAAAACCAACATGGTGAAAGTTTGTGAGTTCCCAACCGACACTAAGTGCTAGAGATTACGGGCAATCAGCAAGCATTGCTTAAGATTTAAGATATAAGTTGTGCCTAATTTGTCGAGTAAAGGAATTAAAGAGATAAACAGATATAAAAATGTGACAGATGAAGCGTCAGTTAGCCAGCAAAGGGAGGTAAATTGTTGTTTAGAGATGAGAAAGAAAGTAGAGAAGTTATTTTCGGAAGCAGTGTCAAGAAATTGGAATACATCCAGGTCCTTCCATTTTCTTTGTGGTTTGTTTTTAATATAACTGATTTAGGAAAGGAGATACCAGCTAGCTTTAGTTTCCCGTTTTGAAATGTTTGTTCACCCGTTTAATTTTAAAAGAATGGGAAGACATACCTTAATTTGGTCAAGGAAAATTAAAAGCCTCGGAGTTGCAAGCACACCTTAGAAATGCAGTTATCTGGATCTCAGATTGTTTAAGCTGAATCGAGCGTATACGCCAAAATATCCGTTTCTGAGACAGTCAAACCTCCAAACCACCACCGATAACTGAGAATGAAAAGCAGAAGCGGCAAGGCAATGACTTAGGCTTAGAAAAATAAATTCCTATGGATATAAAAACATTCAACTTTCAAATGCAAAAATTTGCCCCAGGACTATGTACTTAGATCAACTAAACATAAGGAACCAGAACCAAAAAACGATTCAGCTACATATTTTCAACAAAAGAAACACAATTTGAAATCGTTTACTAGAAACCAAATTGAACCGAAATATTCCATTTTAATAATAAAAAATGTTAAAAGAAAACATGTTCCTTCAAAAATCAAACGACGTCAGGCATAGATCAAATGAAAGTAAGCTTAGAAATTGAAGAAAAACTGTAAAAACTAAGGCAATACAAGTATCAACAGAGCATATTCAGAAGGGAGAGAGAAATCGGATGCATACCTTATCCCTAACATATAACAGAAAATAGAGAAGAACTGGAGACAGACATAGATGAAAAGCACAACAACAACAACAACAACAACGAGAAGAAGAATGGGATGGGAGGAGCAATCCGAGTCAGTCTACGCTCCTCATTTACTTTCGAGGCCTCGTTTTAATTGTGACCTGACCCAGTACCACTCACCATTACTCTTTCTACTTTTCCAATCGCTCTATCTCCTTTACACGTGTCCATAAATCTTTTCTTTGTTTTGCTTTTACGAGGTCCTCATCCTCCATCCTGTGATAACGCGCGTGCCCTCCTTTCCCTTTGCTCTGCTTTTTTTTATCTACCGAGCCTTTTATTTTATATTTTTCTCAATGAATTATAAACTGTTTTGGATTGGGACACATTCATTCTATTTTATTTTTATGCCTTTATTTTTGTTGACTTGTTCAAAATTATATTTTTTTAATTTAAATAACAGAAATAGCTGTACTCACGGCTCCATTTGTTGAATTGCGGCGTTTTTCTCGAAAAATTATCGGTGATCAGTATATTTATCGATTTAATATTAGTCATATTATATTTTTTGATCTAACACCCGTAGCAGTAAAGCGCGCTTTCTGTCTCACGTTATATGTTGATTTGGCGTCACGTGGGATATAGCGCACCCCCTGTTCCGCGCTATAGCTATTTATTTGACATGTGGGGTATAACACTGTACAGGGGACGCGTTATACCTTTAATTACCCTCAACCTTCCTTATAAATACCCCTCGTCCATTACTTTCATCATACCAAATTCTCTCAAATACTCTATCTGTTTAAGGTATATTTTATAATATTTTTAATATTATGTATTTAATTTATTTAAGCATTTTAATTTATTTATTATTTTACTAATATAATTTTTTTGCAGATATATAATGGAAGATGATTTATTTCGCTTGGATGAAAATCATATATCTCGACACTTTGATGTTACGGTAACATTTTAATGTTTTAATTTAATTTAAATTATTTGTAATAATTTGTTGATTTATTTAATGCATGATTATTAGATTAAGAATTAATTTGTGTAATTATTATTTTTTAGGAGAAGGATCGTGTATTAGATCCTTTTATTAGGAATCTTAAGTTAGTGATACCTAGTTGTGTCTTGCCGTATTTAGTAGAAGCTGGATTTGGTTACATAGGTAGATAACAGGGTCACTGTAAGATAGAACCAGACTTTATTTCTGCCTTAGTAGAGCGGTGGAGGCCGGAGACCAACACATTCTATCTTCCGTGCGGAGAGTGCACGATTACACTTGAGGATGTTGCTATGCACCTAGGGTTTCTGGTGGATGGAGATGTGATATCAAGGATCTCGCAGGGTTCCTGGACTACTTTGTGCCAGAATAATCTATGACGTGTCCCGAAAAGTTTTATCGGAGGTAGGATACCATTAAATTGGTTAGATGTTAATTTTCGGGAGTTGAGCGCAGACGCCTCTGAGGATGAAGTTAAGATGTATACACAGGCATGCATATTGCAGTTGATAGGAGGGTTGTTGATGCCGGACAAATCTCGCAACCTAGTTCACTACATGTGGTTGCGACATCTTAGCGACTTTCATCTGGCCGGATCATTCAGTTGGGGCTCGGCAGTTTTGGCTTTGTTATACAGGGAGATGTGTGGAGCCACTGACTACAGGCGTAATGCTATCGGCGAATGTCTCCTACTCCTGCAGTCTTGGGCATGGTATCAATAGCCTTTTTTATGTCCCGTTGTGAAGAACCCATTCGTATTTCCACTACTTCTGAGGTAATTACAAAACTAATTTTGTATATTAATAATTTTATACAGCGTATAATAATTTTTTTCCTTGAATAGGTGGTCTACTGATAGGAAAAATCATCAGGAGCTACCTGATGATTTAGAAAAAAAATTAGGGTACTAATCGATCAGAAGGCTGGCACACATGTATGAATTTTAATGTTTAAAAATCGATTTTAGATTATAGTTATATAATTAGATTATTATTTTGATAAAAAAATATATAATATTTATTTTAGTTTGAATGTGTGCCATATTGTACTGATGATATGAGGGCGGTGATCCCACCTGAGTTGAGGGGCCCATAAGATATTTGGATGGCGATGGTCCCTCTGATCTGTTATGCGACTGTCGAGTGACACTCTACTGATCGCATGCTCTGGCAGTTTGGTTGTTTTCAACCAATTCCAGAGAACCTCGTAATATGGACGAGTTGCATAGCTTAGATAGACGCGACAAGACAGATACAGATTGGCTGGTGAGGCATCATGAGTGGGTCGTGTTGTGGGAGGATCGACATAGGTGCCTTCCCCGTAGAGAGTCCATTTTTGATGACCTCTTGATGTTTGCTGACGGTTATTATGAGTGGTTCAACAGTAACGGGAAACCGTTTCTACTTCCTGGGGATGCACGAGGGTAGGCCTTTCCGTGACGTCGATAGAGACGTTCACCGACACATGACCATCGTCCCCCGACTCATGGACGGAGAGCATGTGCTTCCGGTTCATCCTCAGCTGCACCAGCATGACCTTCACAGTAGCCACCGCCTTCACCTGGTTTTATAACCCCGCCGCCACCACCGTCACATATGACCCCTCCTGGAGGCTATTATGGATCTATGTTTGTAGATTCGACTTGGGGTTCATATGCTGAATATATGGCGGGTTCAGCCTCATCACCCATGGCCGCAACACAGACACCTTCTGTACATTTTTCACACTCAGCGATGTATGGGTTTTATGAGTTTTCTCAGTTTTCGCAGGCCGGTGGGATAGTCAGTCATACACCTCCAGGGTCCTTATTCTATGGAGGTGCTTCATCGTCATCAGCTCCTCATCAACCTAATGTACCTGCTCATGACGACGACGACGATAACGACGATGACGACGACAACGACGATGATGATAGCGAAGAGTCAGAACCAGTGATACGAAGAAATCCTCCTCGAGACCGACAGCCACCGCCCTGCGGAACACATTCGCGACGCAGGCATCGATAGAATTTTTTTATTATATTTGTATTTACTTTATTTTGTTAAATTGTAATTTTTTATTATTTCTCATTTAATACTTACTTTATTTTGTTAAATTTGTTGGACTTTTTTTTAATGTATTTCAGTTAATTTTGTTTATTACCATTTAATATCAGTTATTGTAATTTGGTTATCATTTACTATTTAATTCTTATTGTAAGTTTGTTGTATTTAAATACCAAATTGTTATTAGTTTGATAAAATTTATTGATTGTGTTCGTGTTTTTAATCTTCATCTGCGATTATCGAATGACATTAACTTGAAGTAAATGCAAATTAAAGTACAAGAATTATTATTTGATAAACAAATACATCATTTTCTCATCAATTGTTACTTGATGATAACAGAAGTGGACATGTTTTTCTAGTGTGTTCTGGGTTTCTACAATTGCCACATCTTTTGTCTTGTCTAGATCTTTATCAAATATCCATATCACAATGAATTCGATTGGATTTTGGCCAACCACACTCCCTCAATAAACTCGAATTTGGTACAATCGAAAGCTAATCCTGAACCTCAGTAGGGTATTTGTCATTACCTATGGGGGAAACTCAAATTTGTATACCTTAAAGACTTCAGATAGTAGGTATACGGGATCCACAAAATGGTTATAGTCTTGACGTGTTTGCGAGCAAGATGCTATCACATGAGAGCATGGATACTTCAGAACTTGAAAAAACCCGCAGTTGCACGTTCTGTCCCTTAGATTTACTCTTAACGACACAACTTCAATCCCTTGAAGAGGTCGTGGTAACTCTGTGACACGAAACATTTCATGCCTTTTAGAGAAGCTTGTTACAGACATTCCATTTGATGCATCAATTTTTTTTATGTAGATCTGCAACTAATCTAGGGTGATAGTCATGACCGCCTTGCATCTAGGTTTGAGCTTGTCCCCCGAGCTTCGCAAAAAGCGCCCCAAACAAAAATATGTAGTTTTTACCAAAGCCGTTACAGGTAAGTGACGTGCACCCTTTAAGGTTGAATTGATTGCCTCAGCCAAATTGGTCGTCATGTGTCCATATCGATATCCACCATCATATGCGTTCGTCCATATTTCTTTATCGATGAGGCTGATGTAATCGTATCCTTCCTGCGTTCGTCCGCATTGATTCAAACGTTTGAGAAAGTAGTTCGTAACTTGATCAAAAAATGTATAACTTACTAACCTGCTTTCTTTGCAAAATTAAAACGATTGAAATAAAACAAACTATATCAGTTTCACTTACCCATGCGCACAATTAATTGACGCTCATCATTCTTCTTGTACCTTCCATGATAGTTCGCAGCAATGTATCGGAGACAATACTTATGTTGGACAAAGGGTGGTTGCCACATTGGACCCAAAGACTCCATTGCTGCTTTGATCCCAGCTCCGCGATCTGAAATGACGCAGATGTTTTCCCTCGTGATAACATGTGCACGTAAATTTCGAAGGAAAAAATCCCAAAAATATGTATTTTCTCTTTCGACAAGAGTAAAAGCAACTGAAAAAATGTTGCGATTGCCATCTTGGACAACTGCCAATAATAAAACTTGTTTATTTTCCATACAAGAAAGTCCTTTCGATCTGGACCACAGGCTTGCAGTATTTGGCAGCATTAACGCACTGTGGGTAACTCCAAAAAACCCGATAGAATTGGCTTCGATCGCGAAGAACTCATTCATTATGGTATGCATAGGAGCTTTCAAAGTCCACAATTGTCCCAGGATTCAACGTCTGCACCAGCCTAAACCAACCTGGAAGTTCGTTGTAAGATGCATCCCATTCGCCATGAAGTTTGACAATGTCATTTTGTTTTACCAACCAAGATTTTTTATAGGAGATAGTGTACCCATACTGCGATTGTATAGCTGAAATCAACACAACAACAACTATATGAGAGCTTGCTTTTACCATGGGCATGATGGCTTGGCATATCATTTCAGAGTCCAAGTTGGGACGATCTTGGTTGACCCCTCCAGCACAACATGTGTGAGGACCTTTGTATACTGTTAGTTCTCATATGTTGTTTTTCCTCTTCATTTTCGATACTCAAACCATCCAATTGCATCCGTTTTCGCGTCGGGCACAATAGCATACATATTTTTCGGTCGTCGATCGATTGACTCTGGACTGAACAGAATTACAGATATTGTAATTTTTTATAGCCATCACCACTTCTTCTTTTCTTGAAAACTCCATGCCTAAATATAACTCACCATTATTTATTGATGAGTAATATTCATAGTCACCAAAATGAGGCATATCCACAAATTCTGGCCCGTACATTGCACCATAGTCAACTTTATACATGTCTGCATGAGGGTCAGTTTGTGCCATATTTCTTGGAACTTCATCATCATCGGAGTTGAATTGTGATGATTCTGGGTGAATGAATAGTCCAGTCTCAACACCATCCGCACCAGGCTCACGAAGCGGTTCTTCTGGTAGAGATGATGGTTCCTCCATGCTCTATACATTTAGGTCAAAGAACCTACTACTTGCACGCCTTTCCCTTGAACTGGAAGGCATATCGACATTGACGTCGAAAAAGCTCGCAGTCGAATGCCTCCCCCTGGAGCTTGAAGTCATCGTGTCAAATGGAAACAACACAGATGGTTGCGTTGATGGCATTTCCATATGGTCAAAGAAATTTGCAGATGAATGCCTTCCCCTTGAACTGGACGCGGTGTTGCCATACAGATTGTTCGTGGACCCACCTCGGTACATATCGTAAGGAGTTGCAAATGAATGTCTCCCCATCATGGCATTAAAATCATTACACATTACTGTAGTCGGGCTGTCAACTTGATCAACTTGTTCAGCCAGCCCATATTGGGAGCTTAATGATTGACCCCGAACAACACACACTTGAACAAAAAATGCATACATCTCAATAGCGGCGTCTGAATAATTACTTTGAGCTTCAACCATCATTTGAACATCATCATTGTTCGAAATTTCGAACGATGTATAAGTTAATGGCAACAATGATGTTGGAAATCTGTACTGCAACGACGACATTCTTCTACTACTTCCAACATGAATCTTCCTCGAAATCTTCGTTATCAGCTCCTCAAGAGTTATGTTTCTCTTGAATGATATTTTAACACGGTCATTTGATACGAAAACAACGCCAGTTTCATCTTCTCGAATTTCACCATCATAATAAACAATAGCTGAAAGTCGCGCCATTATTTGAGTTTAAAAGTGCGACAATATTATATCTGCAAAAAAAATCACTGAAACAAACCTAATTAAATAAATTATATATGAACGAAAATATAACATAATAAATTTTTTACACATCAACGTAAATAATTTAAATAATATAATTTTATATTATTACCTGCACTGCAAAATTATTTTGACGTATGCTCCTGCTTTTCAAAAATTAATTGAAAATAATTAGTATAATATTTTTTTAAATATTCATAATAAACAATAAGTATAATAAAAAAATTATAACAAAAATTATAACGAAAAATCGCACGAACTTCTAAATCAAATATGAGAAAATTACCAGAATTATTACTGGTTGATGGAATTGTTATATTAATTTATAAGTTGAGAGGAGAGATGTGATGAACTTAACCGGGAGTGAAGGGTATTTATAACCATATAAGGCGCGGTACCTGCACCGCGCTATTTGTAATTATTCAGATAAAAGGTATAGCGCGGACTATATAATTCGTACCAAGGTATAGCGTTGAGCAGGGGCGGCGCTATACCCCTACGTGGCGTATAGCGTAGAACAGGGGGCGCGCTATACCCACGTGTAAGTCATGTCAGCGTATAGCGCGGTACAGGGGGCGCGCTATACCACACGTAGCGCCAAATCATCATATAACGCGGGACATGGAGCGCGCTTTATTGCTACGGGTGTTAGATCGGGAAATATAATCTGCCCGGTGTTAGATCGATAAATATACCGGTCACCGATGATTTTTCGGGAAAAATGCCTTATTCGGGGAGGTCCATAGGTATAAGATTCGAATTACAATTTTGGTCGTAATCACAAAAGAAAATTAGTTACTATTTCCGTTATCTTTTAAAGCACTAGGTATAGGTCGGATCTTATGGGCTGCAAGGCCCATCCATTAACGAGGTGCAAGTGTTAATGTATTCTATCTTTTCTTCTTTTTATAAAGGGTAAATTACACTAGACACAATTGAATTTTACTTTCGTATCGAATTTGGTCATGGAACTACGAGTTGATACGATTGTAGCATTAAATTTTAGTTTTACATTCAACTGTATCATCGGATCGTTGGGTGATAAACAATGTTTTAATATGGGCAACAACTTCAATCAATGTGATGATGTGATTATAGTGACGTGATTTTTATGTGGATATATCAATGTTAAAAAAGTCTTTTTTAAGATTACATAATTCTTTAATTAATGTATTGATTTTTCATTAAATTTTAAAAAGTTTTGATTTTAGGTGTGGAACTTTCTAATAATTAGGGGCAATCAACCGATGATCGGCATCGATCATCATTCGTCTTATTAGATTAATTTTGATGTATGTTATTTATCTTCTCGAAATAATGTTTCTTACCATTCAAATCTTCAAATAAACATTCCAAAACTCTCAAATATGAATTTCTTAAAAAATAATATAATTTTAGTTTAATTTTGTGAGTTGTAAATAGATATTAAAAAATATATATTGACAAAATGGTAGAGAACAACAAAAACGAGTTCAACATCTATTGTGCCATAAAAGATGTTAAAAAATGTTGTTTTTGATGCGACTAAAAATATGTGAAAAAATTAAGTTTAATGAAAAAATGATGAGGTTGAATAAAACATTAATTGTTTGACCATCGACGTATTAATTTCGTTAATCAATTCATTTAACCATTACGATGATATAAATTTGATTGGATATAAATTAAATTTGGAATTAATTTGCTTTTGATAAGGATTAAACCCGGGTTCTTTGTGAAGGATGATGAGTGCCTTTGCCAATTAACCAAATTGGAATTAAGTCACATGACATTTATATGCTTAAATTTGGTATTAATTGATGGAATGTGTAAGTAAAGGGGGGAAATATATAATTATAGTTTTTTTTAATTTTTATATATGTTTATCTTAAATATTAACATCATTTGAATTAATTGATATATTTTTAATAATTAAATGACCTATTTATAAAATTAATAGATTAATGGTCAAACTATAAACCCCATGTAATTAATTAGTTATTCATGTAGTTTATCACTACCCTATTTTTTAAGGCTTAACATAAAAGAAAATGTTCAAACTAAACCGTTTTTTTCTAAAATGGTGTTTAATTTTTTTTTGTCAATCTATAAGTCTAACATTATAAATGTTATCCCTTAAAGTGTCCCGATTGTAACAATTATTAAAAACATCTGTTAGGTGACATGTGTGATCATTTTGAAAATTTTATTTAAAAAATTATTATATTAAAAAAATCAAGAAATCAAATCTTAAAAATCGAGAAATTTTGTGACTTCACATAACCCGATGGTGTGAAAAACGGTATGAATTGGAAATGGAGAAGGTAGTAACGACTTCGTCGGCAATAATCGTGACTGAAATGAGAGATAGTAAGATTATGTTAGGGGTTTTAGGCGATTTAAGGATTTTTAGGGATGAGATTTTTTTTTTGTAATTTTAATTTTTTTAAGTTTTTTAATATAATAATATTTATACATTTTTTTTAAATAAAATTACAATAAACATGATACTGTCAATTAACAAAATTTTTTAACTATCATTATAAAATAATAACATTTATAAGTTAGACACGTAGGTTTACCGGGGGGGGGAAAATTTACCCATACCTAAAAAGGGTACAGTTTTCAATTTTATTTTATTTTTGGTATTAAGCTTCTTCTTTTTTACATAGAATCAAAACCCTATTAAAACCCTTCGTTCGTCTGGAGTCTGTGCGCTGTTTCTACTTTCGTATTGTTCCTCTTGTTATTTCGAAATCAGAGTGATTAAAAGAGAAAAAGTGAGAATGGGTTTAGGAGAAAGAGGAAACTGGGATAAGAGCGAGTCCAGGTACTGTGGGGTGGAGACTGAGTTTAATGATGACGTTCCTCGCCTTTTGTCTTTCAATCTCTCATCTACCGGATTTGATTTCATTGTGGCTCCCCTGGTAAGTTACTTACTTGCTACCTTTACACTTTCTTTCTTATGGGTACGGAAAAACAACAAGCATCTACCCAACGGATCTCTTATGTTTTCTTTTGGTCTGTGAACTTGTGAATGTTAGACGGATCCTACTTACAGACCAAGCTTGCTAGAAGCAGACAGTGGTAGCTCTCACGTTCCTCCATTTGCTGGGTCAGACCTGGTTTTGAGTCCTTCCCAGTGGAGCAGTCATGTTGTCGGTATGAACTTTTTCTGGTATCCATTACAATTTTTTATCATCACGTTCTCAACATTTTGTGACTTTTTTTTTACCGTTAAGAGATTAAGGTATCTTAAAGATATTTATGTTTCGGTACAGCAATTACTGTTGCTCAAGTGAATTTTTATTCCATCTAAGAGTTTTAGATTCACTTCCTGCCGCTACTGATTGGATGTTAACATCAATATGAGCTTGTTCAGTGAATGTCTTGAATTTGATTTAAATGCCCTCAGCAGCTTCCTGAATTTATCCAGGAAAAATCAGTTCGTGGATTGACTTAGATTCAGAGGACGAGATTGTTCGGATGGATTCTGAAACTGCTTTAAAGCAAGAAATTGCATGGGCCACTCATCTATCCCTTCAGGTGTGAATATTTTTAATAAGAACTTTTTACAGTGTCTTAAGGTTTAGCTTCTGCACAATTGTCTGAAAGCTTTTCCTCTTCTATTTGCTGTTTTTTATTGTGGAACCAAACTTCAAAATGTGATGAATTGTGGGAATTGTGGGTTGACCTCATTATTTCTGAAGGAGAAACTATCCAGTATTGCATTCAATTCTAGTTCATAGTTATACAGGTCAATTTATTTTGACTTAAAAGTTTGACTGCTGTTTGGTTTAAATTACAATACTCAAAAGCATGGGTTATCCATATTACACCAAAATCCAGTTATAATAGGTATTGAAAATAGCAAGAGCATACTAAACTGAAATTGGTTAGAATTGAATTATTTATGCAGATCTTAAAAATTTTGCTTTATCTACTGATGCCTCTTTTGGGCTTTGATAGTATAATAAATGGTTCTGTGTCTGTTGCTATTACTGGCACATACCTTTCTTCTTTCTTGGTGATTTATTTTGGTTTTGCATCAATTGTTAGCAAGTCTAATTTTAAGTTATTTGATTATACAAGTTTGATGTTAATGTTCAATAACCAAAAGTACAAGGTAAATAAGTTATATAACATGTTTGATGATGCTTGCTAAATGTATGAGGTAATGTCAAGGTTACTGTAGTATTTGAAATAATTTTTCATTTCTTTGATTGGTAGCATATAAATATCCATTCTATTATCTATTGTAGGCATGCCTTCTTCCTTTTCCTAAGGGAGCATCATGCGCCAATTATGCTAGATGTGTGAATCAGATTCTGCAGGGCCTAAGCAATATGCAGGTGCCTTTTTTCCTTATCTGGATTCATTGTCAGAACCAATGCAAATTTTTGTATCATGTTCTAATTATTTTTCTTCTTTCAATGTTTCCTCACTTAAGCTGTGGCTAAGGATTCCGTTGTTAAAAACTGATGATGATTCACCGAATGTAGATTCTGATAATCTGGTGAGTTAACTCTCTACTCTTGGTGCAATATCTTACCGTTGATGACCTGGATCTAACTATGCTGCTATTCTCCTTTTCCTACGTTCTATCTTTGACATCAAAACATATGTGCGCGGGCGCGGATTTTATATAAATGCATCTGAGAAAAATTGTCAGTTCTGTTATATCGGCTGCATTATGCATATGTTCATTGTCTATGGATTTCTTGGAGTTCTCTTCAACTAAGTCAGTAGGGTTACTAAGAAGTGAGTATAATAAGCTTGCTTTAGCTTCTACCTCGCCTGCCCTCCCTTTTTCTCTTTACAGATGGATTCCTGGGAACTCTGGAATTTATTTCAACTAATCTGTGAACACCATAGTCAATTGTCAGTTGCCCTTGATATTCTGTGAGTTACTGTATTAGTTATATACTTATATTTTTATTATTTGACCAAACTTACGAAATAAAACACAGTTCTAATAATAATTGCTTATTTTAGAAGTACACTACCTTCTGTGAATTCAATTGGACGGTGGTTTGGAGAGCCTGTCAGAGTTGCCATAATTCATACTGATGTAAGTATGTTCTGAGAGGTTTATTTACGTTTTTGTTTAAAATAGCCAAGTTCTCCCACAACTCATAAGAGTCAACCTTCTCTTGAGTTTTTATTTAGTTTTACTGCTGAATACTCCTTGTTTCCCTGGAGTTTTAACTTAACACTGTTTGCCAGTCTTTCCTGACAAATGCACGAGGTTACCCATGCTTGTCAAAGAGCCATCAAAAGATAATAAATGGGTTCTTTAACCATTCTGTACAGGTGTGAAAACAATTGATTTTTTTTTTCAATTTTACGATTATTATTTTCTTTGCAGTCCAATGTGTTATATACTTCAATTTTTATTTTCTTAATTTTAAACATTCACCGACGATTTTCCTTTGCCTTTTTCTTCTTTTGGGAAATGTCTTGACAGATGATTATTTCTGGAAAACCATTGCATAATATTCCTGCAGAAACCATAGGTTCGGCTGCTGATCATACTGATAAAAATGTGAACAGTAAGTGCCTAGCTTCTTTGAATTTGCATGCTTTGCTGAGTGGTAGTTTAGTCTATTGTTGAACAAGCCTCCATTGCATCTTAATGCAGATGTGCCAAGACACCCTCTGAGGTCATATTTGGATTATGTTGGTTATCTTTATCAAAGAATGGAACCGCTATCAGAGCAAGAACGGATTGAGGTATCCTTTCTCTTTTTGAACGAGATAGAATTCATTATTTTTTCTGTGTGCTATTCTTGTTCTAACTCATTCCTTCTCATATGCCAGCTTGGTTATAGGGATTTTTTACAAGCTCCATTGCAAGTGAGTTTTCTTGTCTGTATTCTGATTCATGAACTTTTCCCTTTCGTTGAGGCATGAGTGTCTGCTGAGAGAAATACTAAATGTATTCGGCTGTTTACACAAGATATTAATGTTAAAGTGTTGGACAGTCGGAATATCTGACAACATAGCATTTCAGTTCTGCTACTTTCTCGCCACCATAATTGTTATTATTATTTAAAGATAGATTTATTCTGCCATTTAAATGCAGCCTCTGATGGATAATCTGGAGGCTCAAACATATGAAACTTTTGAGAAGGACTCAGTGAAATATTTACAGGTAAGTGTGGTTTTGTGCAAAGAGGTAATTTGTTTAGTATCTTTTGTTTTTTTGTATTTGGACCTCTTACATTGTTGATTGGTGACAGTAGTTTTTTTAATTATGCATATATATATTTTATATTTTGCAATCTGAATGAAGTTGTGCCTATGTTTTATCAGTATCAACGGGCAATCAGTAAAGCCTTACTGGATAGGGTATCCGACGGGGAGGCATCAACGGTAACCACTGTAAGTTATCTGTTTTGTGTAACATCTAATATTGTTTTTTGTTGGTGTTTCATAAAGATAATTCATTCTTGATGTTTGTGTGTTTTCTACTTTTGTCAAGGTGTTAATGGTTGTTGGAGCAGGACGAGGACCTCTTGTGAGAGCATCATTGCAGGTTTGTTGTTTCCCTTATGTGTTTTCCAAATTGGATATTTGGATGTACTGATTGTTGCGACTCATGCTCTGATGTGCCTTTAAATTTTGTTTGTTGGTCTTATAGGCTGCCGAGGAAACTGGACGCAAGCTTAAAGTTTATGCTGTAGAAAAAAATCCAAATGCTGTGGTCACACTTCATGTGAGTTGTAGATTTTATTTATTTTGTTTTAAATTGTGATGTTCTGCGTTTCTAATGCCCTGTTAATTTTGCTAAGGAAATCTGTTGGCAGTGTACACACCATTGCATTCTTATGCATAGAGTTCTTCATTTGAAACTTATTTGCTTTTGTTTTGAATTTTCCGTGCAAGCTGATTTTAGTATGACTTATATTTCACTCTATAAATTTACTCTTCTTCCCTTTCTTGGTTACTGGATATATGATTAGGTATTTTATATGTATAAAAATGCCTCTATAATGGTTTTGTTGAACTGGGAGTTAAATTGGAGATATTTTTAATATTATAGTGAACATTGATGTTTCCTATTAACGTGATTCAGTTAAATACCCTATAGTAAAATTTAGAAACTTCAGTTTTAGATTAGTATCTTCATGTGATATGATTCTGTTAAACAATGCCTTTATAATGGTTTTGTTGAACTGAGTGAAATTGGAGATATTGCTAATATTATAGTGTACATTGACGTTTCCTATTAATGTGATTCAGTTAAATCCTCTATAGTAAAATTTAGAAACTGCATTTTAGATCAGTATCTGCATGTGATGTAGCTCTGGGTTGTTGAGACTCCCCCACCTTAGTGTGTGTGCAATTTGCCTTCTGTTAAACTATCATTTCTCTAAAGCAATTTTTTCCTTGTTGAAAAAGTTTAAGGATTAGGGAAGTACATCAACTTCATGTTCATTAGATATTATATAATTCAACCCTTAAGTCGATAGAATAATTCCCAAGCAAAAGCTTTTGAATTAAAGGCTATTATTGGTAGTTTAGTAACATCCGGCCTTTGGCTTTTGGTCTTCAATAGGTTTTTCTTTGGAAGTCTCAAATTAGAAATGAGGACTGTTCTTCCTTGCCCAAGTTCGTTGAACATTCAATTAGTTTTCCATTTTGAACATGATCTTCTATTTGTTAAAACAGAGTTTGGTTAAACTGGAAGGATGGGAAAATATCGTTACCATAGTTTCTTGTGATATGCGTCTTTGGAATGCTCCTGAAAGGGCTGACATCCTGGTATGTGACTAATTCTGTTTCATTTTTTTGTTCAATTTCTTTTCTTTTAACACATGTTTATTAACTTAGCTATGTTTGTATGTAGGTCAGTGAATTGCTGGGATCTTTTGGTGATAATGAGCTGTCTCCCGAGTGTCTTGATGGAGCCCAACGGTTTCTGAAGCAAGATGGAATCTCAATACCCTCATCGTGAGTTTGTCTCTGTGTGTGTCAGTATTAATGAGGCAGTGGGTCAATATCATTTACCATCCGTTGTAGGGTTCAGTCAAATTCTCTACTGATGAGTCTGAACCCTAATCTGGGTGGATGTCCCAATTGATGGAAATTAAAATTTGATGATCCAGCTTAGAATTATATTGACAACTCAGTGTTCATCTGTGTAATGACCTGAATTTTTCTGATTTATCTATGGATGTCCTTTAGGGATTCTTCATGGACAAGCTTAGGATATTTTGGTTATATGGTTCTTCAGCTTTGGATTTATGTTTTGATAATTGTGTCATCTAGTTTATAGCTTAAATGGTTCTTGGAACTTTATTCTCCCTCTAAAGACTTCTAATCTTGCTTAATGGTGGGTATTTATCGACGGTTTCTTTAGATAGATCTGTTATAATATTAAGTAATACTGAAGAAAATAATGATCTTTAATTGGTACATTATTATCTCATTTGTAGAAAAAGAGTTTTCCAATTGGGTTATTGCCCTGTTATGGCATTCCTGCCCAGGAAAAATCTTATGTAGAGTCAAAAAAATTTAGACAGAATATAGGTCATGCATTTATGTCTTTATATTTATTTCAATTGCCTTCTATTTGTTTCATTTTTTTTGCTATTATTAATTCTTTTGCAAAAAAGTTTTCAATTGTTCCTTCTGGTACACTTGATTTCTAACACTTCAGTATTGCTTTTATATTCCACCATCAAAAGGCAAAAGAAGGGAAAGAATAATTGTCATAAAGTCACAGTTACTGAACATCTGAAATGCATTTGTTGTGTTATGCCTCCCAGGTACACAAGTTTCATCCAACCAATAACTGCTTCAAAGCTATATAATGATGTATTCCCTTTTTTCCATACTTTATTATCTCCTGGTATTTTCTTTGAATTTTTTATTCTAATTTATTCTCTTTTATGGGTTTCACAGGTCAAGTCGCATAAAGATCTTGTCCATTTTGAAACTGCTTACGTTGTAAAACTGCATGGTGTTGCCAGACTTGCTCCTACAAAACCTGTGGGTGTCCGCTTTTGTATGCTTATTAATCTCCAAAGTTTGTTAGTTTAACCTGCCCATTTATTATTCTTTGTACAGGTTTTTACGTTTAACCATCCAGACTACTCAACTAAGAAAAGCAACCAACGATACAAGAAGCTTCAGTTTGAGATACCACGAGACACTGGATCGGCAATGGTACATGGTGTGTTGCAATGAGCTCCACTTCATTTTCTTTCAATTAAATGTTCTAGAAAAATTATGCAGTGCGTAGATAATTTTCCGAGTGTCCATGGAATCTGGTTTACATCAATTCCATGAATAATCTTGAAAATAAGTTTAAGAAATGGTATTGCAGAATGAGAATTGTCTCTTGCTATCTAGGACCTTGTGCTAAAGATGCTCATGTCAGCCCCCCCCCCCCCCAAGCATCTGAAACTATATACTTGGGGGTATGTTGTTGATGGATGCTAATGCAGGAGCATTTTACAGGGCTCAAAATCCTTCTACTATCGTAGAAGCTTAACTACCTCAAATACTCCTTAGTGGATGGGAAATTAGTTATAGAAATGTTCCTCTTACATCATTACCATTTGCATCCATGTTAATTTTTTATAGAAGTTATATGATAATCATAGTACATATTTATGTGAGAACTTATAAACCTAACCAGTTTGAAAACTTCATTGAAGGATTTGCTGGCTACTTTGATGCAACACTTTACAAAGATGTACATCTCGGTATTGAACCATCAATGGCCACGCCAAACATGTTCAGCTGGTATGCAATTATTTTCTTCTTCTTGGATTCATTTGTTAAGGGCTCATGAGTTGAAGCATCTTAGAAGAAATTTGGAGTCATCTGTCTCAAGTTATATTAGTCAGAGTATGCATGCAAGATAGGAAATAGATTCATAAATTCCCATGCAACCATTGTTTGGTTTTTAATTGTATCTGATTTTCTCTAGTGTGAACTTAATGAAAAGAAGTCCCACAAAGAATGGAAAAATATCATTTTGGTGTTAAATAATATTCTCAGCATATTGATAGGTAGGAAACATGAAATATGGATTGACCTAATGAAGAGGCAGTTATTATCTTTGATTCTGTTTAGTGAGCAATTGGATGCCTAACACCTTCGTTTTTCCCTGTCATGAAAGCTATTTTGCTAATGATTCTACCAGCTAGCGAGAATGAAACATTGAACTTAGTTTATTCAGAATTCAAACCAGTGAACAGATGCCCAACACCTTTGTAGCCTTACCATCTATATCCAATTTTGTCAAAAATTACTAGATGTTGGTCCTCGGTAGCATCTCTTCCCATAATGATAAATTTGGCTGTTGTGGATGGACAGGTTTGCAATATTTTTTCCGCTAAGACAACCAATATGCGTACAACCTGGATCCCCTCTTGAAGTACATTTTTGGCGTTGTTGTGGCTCTACCAAGGTGAGCCCTTTTCCATGATTGTTAAATTTGAGTAATTTACTAGTTTGTTGTAAAATTGAAAAAGCACAATGTGATGCAGGTTTGGTATGAATGGTGTGTGACGTCTCCTAGGCCATCGCCTATTCACAACAGCAATGGCCGTTCATACTGGGTAGGTCTTTAGAAGTATTAAATTGTGAGGAGAAGGAAAATGCATTTGCTTCTTCATTTGGGTCAAAGGCAGCAACCCTGAGCAAGTATTGATATATAGTTTCCCGTGTGTTCTTGGAACTATCAAGTAAATTGAGAACATTTAATGATGCGCTACTGATTTTTGGAGTGGATTTACATGGGGTTTCTGTTTTTCTTTTTTAGTGTGTTATCTGCAGTGTAGTATCTAGGGGTGCTTATCGAGCGAGTCGATCACGAGTTGGACAGTGCTCGACTCGTGCTCGTTAAAAAATTTTGTTGTTCGACTCGTTGCTCGTTAAATTTTTAATGGACTCGTGTTCGTTAAAAAAACTTGTTGCTCGTTAAACTTACTGAAATTTTTACCATATTTTTTTAATTATAGGTCAAATCTACTAACACTATACAAATCTTAATATAAACATAAATTAATAAATTTAATCAAAAATATTATCAAAAGAGTGCATGAAACAATTTCAAAAGTCTAAAATCCTACTAACAATCTACAAATACATTAAAATAATAAATATGGTTTATTTTTTAATGTAGTAAAATGCTAGTTAATAATTTAATATTTTTTTGTTGTTTATTAGAAAATTAATAGATTAATAATTCATCATCTTTTTTATTATCTATTAATAAATTAATATTTTTTAATGAAACAATTTTTAAGATAATTATTGAAAAATTTATATAAAAAATAAATGAGATGCTCGTGAACTTATCGAGTTGAGTTGGACTTTGCTCAAATCAACTCGTTAAGGTCTCGAGTCGAGTTTTTATCGAACTTTAACCGAGTCGAGTTCGAACTACTCAATTCATTAACCACTTAGTATCGTTTCAGAACATGATGGATGGGTGGATGGATTTACATGAGCATTGGAATGTTCAATTAACATATGGGGACTTTGACACTTTGTTGAGTTTGAGTATATGCTACTTAGAAACGAATTTCTTTTTTTTTTTCTCTCTTTTTTATCATACAGCAACGGTTAGGCTAAGATAACAAAAGCTGACATCAAAACTGAAATTGAAAGCTTAGTCAGTGGGCAATAAGTGAACTCGCAGGGGAGCTGTGGGTTTATTATTATTATTATGCATGCTTTACTAAAGCAACCGTACTAACTCCTCAGTTTGCAATGGTTGGTTTTGAAGAAACAGAAGGGTTTTAGCTTCGCACTATGGAACAATACGGTGTATCTCGTTTGTGTAAACGACTATCAAAACCGCACCTATATTAAGTCAAGGTATACGAAGGCCTTAAGTGCCTGGTCATTGCTTTTGAACCCTTGAACTGCATACGTTAGTAACGAGTTAATAAATGCAATTTTCATCAGTCATCAGACAGAACATGACCTAAAGTGACCATTTTTCTTTGTGATACTTAATCAGCAATGTTCCATTTTATATTTTATATCACTTGATTCTGGATTTAGTGAAGATAAGACTTTGGGCTTCTCATTGTAATCATGACCAACAATAATAAAAGCAAAATTTGGGGTTTCGTTCTGTCAGCAAGAGAAATCAGCCTGATTGAGGAAAGAGTTATCTTCATAGGTCAATATGTTCTTCAAAATTTATGAATTATCAATTCGTATACGAGGCTACTATGGTCACCCCGGGATTCGCTGGTTTTTGCAATGACAAATTTTCTGTTTAACTAAAGAGGTTTACACGCAAAATAGGTTGGCGCGGAGGAGAAAAATGAGTTGTTGATACATTGTTGCGTATTATTAATGACTTCACAAAATTAAGCTATGGCTACAATTTCTGAATTACCCTTAGCTTAGCACTTCTGCTGCGGCGGTTGAAGCCCTCTTCCTTTTCGGAGGGTGTTATTGGCCTCTTGGTAAGAATTGTTCCATTCCAACCTTGTATCGTCTGTCTAATCCATGATTCATTTTGATCCTTGTTACCTTCAACATTATTCTTTACGGAATCCTTCCCTTCTTCATTGATGATTTTAAGGAATGCTTGTTTCACAATTCTATCCTCTAAACTGTGAAATGAAATGACAGCAAGCCTACCCCCGGGAGCTAGACAATCAAAGCATGCAAACAAGGAATCCTCCAGTGTATTGAGTTCATCATTGACAGCGATTCTAAGGGCCTGAAACACCCTTGTTGCAGTTTTTATCCAGCCTTGCCTACCACCTATAAACCCATTCCTTTACTTATTAGCAAGCCAAAAAAGCACAAAGGATGAACTGAATGAAGAGTGTAGCTACCTCTTGTCCCAGGAGTAGCCCTCCGAATAACATCAACCAATTCACCAGTGGAATGCAATCCACCTTTAAGGCGGGCCTGAACAATCTTGTTTTGAAGCAATCGCCAATTCCTTTCTTCTCCATAATCCCGAAGGATTCTACCTACTTCACTATCTGGCCAAGAATTCAATATGTCTTCTGCTTTCAGACTAGCCTGTCATGTGCCTGCTATAGTTAGTTAAGTAGAAATGAAGTATCCATGAAAGCAAAAATCATACTAACCTGAGGATCCATACGCATATCAAGAGGGCCATTAACGAGCACGCTGAAGCCTCGGTCAGGACAGTTGACCTGCGGAAAGTGAAACAGAGGAGACCATGGTCATGAAGGGAACCCAAGACCGGGGAGGACACAACTGAGGAAGGCGAAAAATAGAACCTGCATGGATGACATTCCTAAGTCCATTAAGATGCCATCGACTCCCGAAGAGATGTGGTCGACCTGGGTGAGAAGGGATTTGATCTGTCTGAAATTTTTGAGAAAAGTGAGGGCTTCCAAGTTGGGATGAGTGTGAGAATGGGAGATGGCATTGATGCGAGAACGAGCCAAACGGAGTGCAGCGGGATCCACATCCATTCCAATGAAAAGCTTGAGCTTAGGGTGGGACTGGATTATCTGTCCAAAAAACCATCTTTTTGTCTTTTTTTTTTTTGGTAATATAAACACACAAACTATTACTAATATTAGAAGAAAAATAAAGAGAGAGAAAGAGACCGCAGAAGCATGACCAGCCGCTCCAAGAGTACAGTCGACAAAAGAGGTGAGAGGCTTTGAACTTGAAGAGAAGACATCAAGCACTTCGCCCAACATAACGGGGACATGGGACTGCTGCATCATTACTGAAGTAGAAGTACTCGTAGATGAAGAACCATCCTCCTCCTGCTCCAAAATCTGAATATCCCCATCCCTGAGTGAACGGGTTCTTCGCTTTTCTTTGGTTATCCCCTTTTCTTTCTCCTCCTTCTTCTTCCTCTTCTTGTTTGTGTCGGTAGTGATGCTTCTACAGGATAATCTCACGAGGGCATGCGATTTGGGGGGATACTGATTATAAAGGAAACGCTTTGCGGATAGCGATGCAGAGCGTGATGAAACAGGAAGAGAAAGGGAAGCAGACAACATCATCCGCATCATGTGCTTCGCATTTGCGATTGCAGCTGCAGTTGCCGCCATCGATTCTCTTTCTACCCGATATCCAGCGAGTGAGTCAGTGCAGTCAAGGCCCAGGGATTAGGGATAGATAAAAAGTAGTCATTGCAGCAAACAAACAGAACAGAGATGAATCAGATTACAAGATTTCCATCCCCCTTAAGGCTAAGGCTAAAACCTTTGGGCCTCATTCTATTACAGGGCCCCTTCCATGTGTTAAATGTATTTTCGACTTAAAATAAATAGGGTAAATTTCGCGTTTAGTAGTTAAATTATTAGTTTTGGTCTGTTTTAATGCCTAAATTTAAATTTTTTTCAAAATCATACTTAACGTTTAGTTTTTGTTCTATTTTAGTACTCTACCGTTAAAAACTTAACGGTAGAGCTGACCGGTCCGCCAGAAAAGTGAAATCGGCCAACACCTAGCCCGATTTCAAACTTAATCTAGCCTAACTTTGACCTTTAGGGAACCAACCAACAACCACCTTTCTCGGTAACCTCCACTCCAAGCAACGATTAACTAACAAGGGAGTAGTCAAGTCATCAGTCTCTTCTCTAATCGCAGTGATCGTGTTCCAATAGCGTCGAACGATTGATGACGATAACTCCCCAAAAATCAATATTACTCGAAGCAAGGGCAAGGGGAAATCAAAGGAAACGATCGACGAAGGTGGGATTTTATATTTTTGGAGATGGAGGAGTTAGTTGGAAGATCCCTACGGTGAAGATGTTGATGGCAAGGACGATATATCTTAAAATTGACACCATCATATGGTTAGCAATGACGAATAGAGGTGTTTTACTTGAAGTATCCGATAAGTTTTTACAAGATCTACAACAAATGACTACGGTTTTGGGAAAACGAACTTCAGATCCATGATTAGAAGGTAGAAACGAGCTAGCTAGTGAAGTTTGGTCTTGATCGACAACCGGTATTGGCGGCTAGCGCGGTGGTCATCGGTGACTAATCGGTGAAGCACACTCATTATTGTTGTAGTACTCACCATTGGAAGGCTAAGTCACCTCTGTCATTAAGTTTTTAACGACAGGGTACTAAAATAAAACAAAAACTAAATGTTAGGTATGATTTTGAAAAAATTAAAAGTTTAAGTACTAAAATGGATTAAAGCTGATAGAATAATGTTGGGATTGATGAAGCTCAAAATTGACAACCGAAATAATTTGCTAAAAGGGGTGAATTGGATTTTTAAGAATTTTAGGGAGTAAAGAGATTTAAATGATAAGAAAAACGATGCACAATGATTTATAGTTGTTTAACTCCCTTAATAAAGTCTACATCCGCTACCTAAGCTCCTCACTTAGGGTTTTCCAACAAATCCACTAATTTGTTCTTTCTTTTTCAAGGATAAAGATATAACATTTACAAACTCTATAGCTTTTCAAAAGCTTAACTAGAACCAAAACCCTTTACAAAAGAAAAAGAAAGTAAACAAAAAGACCTCTAAAAGATAAGTGTTTACAAACTTAAAGCTCACACAAACACAACTATTTACAAGAGAAAGGAAAATAAGAGTGACAAACTCTTCTCTTGTGTTTGATTGCTTGGATATGTGTTGATAACCTTCTTCAAGTGTCTTGAACTTGTATTTATAGGTTTGAATGCATTTGTGGCCGTTTCTAGCCGTTGGAAATGATCTAGAGCCGTTGGGGATGTTTTCTTTGCAAAATAAAACTACCCAGGACATGAAGTATCGATACTCCTTTAATGAGTATCGGTACTTCATTTGTTATTTTTAAATAAAACTAGCCATTGAGCCTGACCAATATCGATACTATGATGATGGTACCGATACTATTATGTGAAGTAGTATCGGTATCCCTTTGGGTATTGATACCTATTTTGCATTCTGAATGAGCAAACTGATAGTATCGATACTACATAGAGAGTATCCATACTACATAGAGAGTATCGATACTTCTCTTACTTTTGGTATCAATACTATGTGAACAATATCGATATTGTTCATGCAACATCGATATTGTAAAAACAGTATTGGTACTACGTACCCATAAAAGCATTTTTGTGCTCAAATTCTATTATAATGGACTTTGAATTATTTTTGAAAATTTTGAACAAATTCAATTCAAGTCCAAAAACATTTTGTCTTAATTTGTTATATCAAAATATTATAAAAAGTGGTTCAACGTTTAAGTATTAAACACATAATTTACCTAGGTACTAAACATGTAATTTACCCAAATAAATAAGGGTAAACTACCTTTTATGTTACTCTATTTTCATCATTGAACTAAATAACTTATTCACTTAAGAGTATCGATTTTTAAATTTATTTTCAATCAAATTATTTAAAATTTCCTTACTCCTAACACAATTCATAACATGCTTTATTTTTTTTGTATAATCACTGATTTCCTATTTATTAATCGACTAATCCAAATCGGGTACTGCAGAGGCAATAACGATCCTCCCAATAATGATTTGTTTTTAATTGGGATAGTAACATATTCTAATTTTAATTAAAAATAATTTATTTAATAAGATAATAATATATGCTATCATATTATTAGTAAAAAAAAATAAAATATGTTACAATAAGTATCAATACTCTAATAAGAGTATCGATGCCACTAGCAAGATATTAATATCATGGTTGTTAATGCCTTAAAAATAATACATAATACATCTGAATGATTCATAATCGATTAATAAAATTTGAAAATAATTTTGAGACTTAAAATGATTAAATTATCTCGAATATAATGTACTTAAAATTTAATAAGATTTTAGTGTAAGACTTGTAATTAACTTTGATGTTGGTTACTGTAACCCTCTCAGACCGATGAGGGTAACCCGATCCGATCTGGAGTGTCACATTAGGGCCACCGGAGCGACCCACTGTAAAAATAGCAGAAAATTTAAAATTGTTATTAAAACATGTAACGTATAAAATCATTTATTAGTATTCAGAAATAAAACAGATTTTCAGACTCGTATATAAAACAAAATACAATTACATGCCCCCTAATCACATGTATAATACTCTGAAAACAACGCCAGAAGAACTCCCTTACTGATGTCGATAGCTGCACTGGTATAATTATTTTAACCTGCAATATATAATAATAGAGTGAGCTTCAGAAAACTCAGTAATACAGAACTACACGATGATGCTACATGACATGCAGATAAATGGGAAACCATAATTTCCTTATTGAATCATACATATACCAGTGGGCGGAATAATCTGGGGTTCCCTTATAAGTTCATCGAGTAGTAGCCATGAATCTCAGTTCATAAGAAACCTTTCATACTATCACATTTTCATAAGGTCGAATAAGATGCCTAGTGTGTTCCATCAGTACGATAAAACCATAATAGGTACACTAATCAAATGACAGTTCTGTAAAATCCCATAAACCATATTGTAGTTGAGTTTTTTAAACTCGTATTTTAAAACCATCTTACAAAGAGTTAACCTAAGGGAACATCTTAGAGCCTGAGAGCCTATCCAAGATAGATTTCGGGGCTGTGGGGCCTACCTAAGAACACATCTTAGGGCCGCAGGGCCTACCCGAGAATGATCTCAGGGCCGTAGAGCCTACCTAAGAGTCACATTAGGTCCATAAAAATTTTCCTGCTTGATCAGAGTTGTACTTTACAAATCTGTATCTCTAAGATACAATTTATATGATGATATAAATCCATAAGCCATCACCATTAAGTCAGTACATCCATAAAACAATAACCATATATTTCAGGGTAAAATATGTTAAAACAATAAAACAATTTTTCAAAATATAAGGAACACACTAGAGAATCCAAATATTTTTTTTCAGATGCATTTTGTAGTTATCAATATGGATAACGTGAACTTGTGCAATTTGATCGGATTCCAATAGTAAGATCTTATTGAAGAGAATCAATTTCTAACTGATCTAATCAGACATTTCAGATTGATACTTTTAGAATTCCACTAAGTTTCTATATGCATTAGGAAAAAGTTCAGGAACCTTTATACAGAATAATTCTAAATTCAGATTTACTGCGAGTGATTCCATTACCCAAACAATCAGGGGTGTTCAGGAATATACTTTGAATTCATAGGATTTCAGGCCAATTTAACCAAATGTGGTATTCAGAATCTTTTCGTTCTGCGTTACTTGCATTTTCCAACATGACCGAAGTGATTTTATATGAAAATATAGAATCGAATATTCAACTTATTTACAATCTATGACTATCGATCATATTATCAAACAACTCGAGTTACACAACTCCCAACCTGATGCATGTCAACAAGTCAATTCATTATCCTTCCAGTGTATTCACTCTTTAATTCCATAATGCAGATCCATAGATCATCCTCATAATCATCACTGAATAAATATTCCAACGGTCTTTATTTCATTTCCACATTTCAACAATATCAGGAAATATAGACGTACTTGATCCATGGCTCATAACCCATAAGGACAATTCATCATGTAAGTTCAACAGTGTTTCCAAACTCATCCAATCACCTATTTAATCCTCAGTCATTTATGTTACTTAGTTCATTTAGTAAGCAAGTCTATCCCGATTATTTTAAAGTTTTCCATAATAATTCATACGTTTTTGAATTTCAAATACACATTGTACTTCATTTCAGTTCAATTTATTCATATAATAAAGTCATTCTGGTATTCGTGGTTGATTTGACTCACGAATACCCACTTATTAGTACTGTATGCACTCTAGAGTTGAGCTGAGCCAAGTACTTCCAGAATTATCATTGATCCAAATTTGAGAAGATGAAAAAACATTCAAGTGGTACTTATATCATTTAGGTAATGATATAGCACTAACGTTGGTTGATCACTTAAGTTGTGTTCCATGACTTTTACTGGTAGCACAACATCCATGTTTATTTGGATTTCTTAATTAATCCAAGACATTTACTTATTCTAGGTCATAAGGGCATTTTGGTCATTTTGGTGCTCAACGTTTTTCTATTCATTTCAAATCTTGAGTATATCTATTCATTCCTGAGCTTAGTGACATTCTTGAGTCATTTCCATTCCAGGGGTATTTTGGTCATTTTACAAATCTAGAATATTTCAATCATTTCCTTCCGTTCGGTCTTATTATTTAATTTAAACTT